CTGTCTGGGGGGCAGAGGGGTCCTCCAGGCCCTCCTCTCCCTGATGAGCTCCTTGCTGGGTTGGCAGAGTAGGAACTGCAGGGGGTTTCAGACCTCTGCAGGATCCCAGCAAATCTCCAGGCTCCCTCAGCCCTCTAGGGATTGGGTCTGGGAGAGGAAGGAGCCAGATGCCTGAGGCCCCCCCCAGCACTCCAGTTTAGGGGTCTCCAATTTAGGGGTGATCTGGATTTGGCTTGGCCCCTTCTGAGCTGGGCATCGCTCAGCTCCTGTGGATTTGCCCAGGCTGTCTGATGCCTAGGGTCTCTTTGCCTGGCCTGTTACTGGCCTCCCTCCTGCGCTGTCCGCTGGGACCCTCCCCATGCAGCCTCCTCCTGCCTGGTCTCATCACCCCTTCGTCCCCCCACCCTCAAGATATCCAGACTGTCTCGGCCTCCCACCATGCAGAAAGGACCAGGATAGCACTGTGAGGAACTGGGGAAGTGAGGCTAGCGGTGACCTCACAGTGTCACCCATTGGGGCTGTGCATGTGGCCCAGTCTTCTCCTGCCCTGGTCAAGGGTGATTTGTGGGCCATGTCCCACCCCCGCAAGACCTCAGACTTTCTCTCTCAGTGTGGGGGGCCAAGGAGGAGCCAGGAGCTGAGCCCTGCTAGGGGTGGGAGTCTTTTGCCCCCAGGTGTCTGATTAGCCAGGCTGCCAGGGCCAAGTGGTGACCCTCGAGGGGGTCTCCCAGCGATTCCTGCTTCAGCTTCCCCTGGGTGCCCGTCTTTTCTGGTTGACCCCTGTGCCCAGCCTCTCCAATGCCCTCCTGTCACCCGCTGTCCTGTGTCTGGGGGAACCTGGGGTGCCGGCCACCTGCCGCTCACCTTGCCTCCCTGTGTCCCCGCAGCTGCCACTGGGCCCGAAAGATGGGTGCTCTCCTGGGCGCCCACTGCACTGGCAGGGGCCGAGGACACTGCTGCTGCGCAAAAGTCTTCAGGATGGCTTTGGCTTCACCCTGCGCCACTTCATCGTGTACCCGCCTGAGTCAGCCGTGCACTGCAACCTGAAGGTAGTGCTGGCCGGAACCCCAGAAGAACCTGGGGCGGAGCCCGGGCTCCTCTGACAAGACCCAGGGAGGAAAAGGATGGGGAGGAAGCAGCTGTGTGAGGGAGAGGACGGACCCCTGCCATCGCAGCAGAGGGCAGTGACTGGGTTGGGGCAGGGACTGGAGGGGGCGCCCAGGCATTCTAGGAAGGATGGGCCTCCCCGTCCACTGGTGGCTTCTAAGCTGCGTCTGCTGTCCCTGTCCCCTGTGGTCACAGAGCATACCAGTGCATCTCTGTGCCCATTCCCTACCTGCCCCAGGCCTGTGTAGGCTGTAGTGTTGTGTGCTGGAAGGAGCCTGGGGTGGGACAGGGGATCCCAGGCTGGGCCAACTCCTGAGACACCGTGGACCCGAGCTGCCCTGCTGCCCCACTGTCCTGAGCAGTGGTACTGCAGTGCCCAGGGTGCATTTATTGCCTTGGCCCCAAGAACCCTCGCAGCCCTGGTTCAAATGCCCAGGACTCCAGGCCCAGAGGAACCCGGCTCCTTGGCCCAGCCCATGGCTGTGAGTCGGGCCAGCATCTGCAGGAGAATGGGATGAGGACTAGAGGGGCCAGGCAGACATCACAGCCCCCATGAGGGCCTGGTCTCCACTCTCCTGCAGGCAAGGAAAGAGGTTTATTTATTTATTTTTGGTCTTTTTTGAGACGGGTTCTTCACTATGCAGTTCAGGCTGGCCCTGAGCTCACTTTGTAGCTCAGGCTGGTCTTGAATTCACAATGATCCCTCTCACCTGGGATTACAGGCGTGAGCCACCACGCCCTTCGAGGAAAGAGGTTTTTGTTGGGGTTCACAGCCCCTGACTCCCCTTCCTCCAGCACTGGAATCAGCCTGCAGCAGCTGTCAGAAGTCTCCCTGGGGATCTTGATCTCCCCTGCCAGAGCATGAAAGCTTGGGTCTCACAGCCTTCAAGTGCTTAGGAGTCTGCATGCACACATGTCTGTGCGGTGTGCTGGGCACGGGTGCACACATGTATCCCTCTGTAAAGACAGTGTGTGTCCGTGTCACTACACTGGGGGCACCATTGTCGCTGGCCAAGGCAGTGCTTAAGAGTGGCCGTGGTGTGTGGCACTGTCCCACCCCTCTGTGCCCAAGGACACGGCCTCTTCAGTCCCTGGAGCCCCCCTCTATCCTGGGCCCTGCCACCTCTCTCAGAGTGCCCCGTGGCCCTCGGAGTCTGTGGATGGCGGACAGTGGCCTCAGAAGTGTCCTAGGGTGCTGAGCTGTCCCTCCATGGGCGTTGGAAGGCCTCAGGCTGGGGGAGCCAGGCACAGCCCTGTCACCTTGCAGACCTGGGAGGTCCCCTGCCTGTTCCTGCTGTCCTGCAGCCCTCGGGGTCTCAGCCATCGAAACGAATCCATCCGCTCTGCCACCCACACACTCTGCTGTCGCCTCTAATCAGTGTACCCCACACGGGAGGGGCCCTCTGTCCAGGCTGGGCCACCAGTGAGTGCTGGGTTCTGGCCCTGGCCCTGAGAGGCCTCAAACAAGTTGGGCTGTCATCTGTGAAATGGGCCTAGTGTGTCTACAGAGAGGGACACATGGCTGCGTCCTGCTGGCCTGGGCTCTGTCCTTCCCCTACACTTGGTCCTGGCTCTTCCTTGAAGTAGTGCCCTTTCCCAGGGTGACCCCAGGGCCTCTCCAGGGTCTCCTTAGCTCTCCCTCTTGCTGCTACCAGAGCACTGCCCTGGCTGGTGTCCCCTGGGGCAGGGAGGACCTCCTTCCCTGCCTGGATGCTTGAGTCTGACTCCTGACACTTCCTGGTGACAGCGGGTCTGGCCCTCCATGTGCTCGCCTGTTCCACCCACTATAGGTCTCCGTCTCCTGTCCCCTCCGCACTGTGCCCTCTGCTGCCACTCCCAAACTTGCTGAAAGCCCCTCCCCAGAGCCAGCTAATCAGGCCTTGCCCTCCTCCCAGCCCGCTTTGAGCTCCGGAGATAACCCAGGTCACCCTGCTTATCTGTGTGCCCTGCGCCTCCCCCTTGCTCAACTCCAGGAGCACTGGGTTCCCAGGTGGCTGGGGTGCAGGGGCGGTGGGCTTGGCAGGTGGTCAGGGGCGGGGAGCATGGCCTGGGACTTGGGGTACAGCAGACAGCCCTCTCTCTGCTGCTGGCTCGCAGAAGAAGCCAGCAGGAAGGAGATGGGGGCGCTGGGCTCTCCCATGCCGCTGAGGGCTGGACCCGCTCTGTTGCCGCAGGAGGAAGAGTATGGAGGCCGAGGGGGCCGAGGAGGAACCGGAGGAGGAGGTGAGTGGTACGGGCTGGTCTCTGCCTCTGCTGCCTCTGGTTTCTGGGTTTCTGTTCTCTTCTTGGCCCCTGGCCTGGGCCCTCGGGCAGCTCCGCCTTCTCGTCTCCTCCCTGCTGCAGACACCCTGGCATCTGTGTCCTCCCTCGGATTGCTCCTACCTGAGACCAAAGCCTAGGCCGGGAGTCCATGCTGGGGCCCTGACAAGGGGGTGGCCTTGCACATAGAGGTGGCAGGCTCCAGAGTGGGTGGGGACCCCACATCTCCTCCCCTCGCAGGCCTCTCTCTCTGCCTGTTGCCCTGGCCACCTGAGGGACCCTTACTGGCCCCAGCCTCCTGGGGTGTCCATGGGTATTCGAGGACTGCCATGGCGGTATCAGCCCCTGGCCCAAACAGAGGGGACCACGGGTGTGACAGGGCCCATGCCTGCCCAGGGGCTCTCTGGACTCTGCCTGGAGTCTTCAACCTTGGGAGAGGAGTGGGTAGGTAGCAGATGTGAGTGGTGGGTGGCCCCTGGCGTGTGTGCTGTCCCGTGGGTCCTGGGTCACGTCTCTTCAGGACTTGATGAGCAGCTTCTTGAATGGCATCTGTCCCTTGTCTTGTTTTTGTTTTTGAGGCGGGCACTGGGTCTCTGAGCTGTATTTCCAGTCCCTGTTTTTGATTTTTTGAGACAGGGTCTCACTGTGTAGTCCAGGCTGGCCTTGGACTCACAGCAGTCCTCCTGCCTCAGCCTCCTGAGTGCTGGCTGGGATCACAGGAGTGCACCCCCACACCCAGCAAGTCTGTGTCATTGTGTCCTTTTTTTTTTTTTTTTTTTTTGTCTTTTTCGTTTTTTATCAGTACCAGGATCGAACTCACAACTGCCTGCTTGCAAGGCAGGCGCTTATGCCGCTGAGCTAAATCCCCAGCCCCCATTGTGTCCTTTTAACCTGCTTCCTGACAGGGACTCTGTGGGTGTATGCATGGCTTCTCTGTGTCCACACGGAGAGGTTTTTGTCCTCTCACTGGCTCTCTGTGCCTCTGTGGGTCTGGCCACTGGGCCTTGTGGAGGGGCGTGAGTGTGTGTGTGTGCTATTTGTGCAATTGTGATCCTTCACTGTGGCCTGTGTGCAGCTGTACATGGGTGTGACCCTCAGCAGCTGCCCCGCTAACCTGGCTGATCCCGTAGGCGCCTCCCCCCGGCACCGCCTGGAGCCCATGGACACCATTTTTGTGAAGAGTGTCAGGGACGGTGGCCCTGCGCACAGGGCCGGGCTCCGCACAGGTGAGGCTGGCCAGGGTGGAGCTCCCGGACAAGGGTGGGGACAGGCTGCTGATTCCCCACTGGGGTACCTGCTGGGCCTCGGGCGCCCCTTGCCTCTCATACCTGGCCCCACCTTGTCCCCAGGAGACCGGCTAGTGAAGGTGAATGGCGAGAGTGTCATAGGGAAGACCTACTCCCAGGTCATCGCGCTGATCCAGGACAGGTGAGCCTTGGCCTTGGGGGAGGGGGGGACACCCCGGCCTTGGTGGCCGAGGTCCTTGTCCTTTGCCCAGCTTGACCTTAGCCCTGCCCCTGCAGCGATGACACCCTGGAGCTGTCCATCATGCCTAAGGACGAGGACATCCTCCAGCTGGTGAGTCCTTCCCCTGTGCTGCCGTGGGGGTGGGGGTGGAGTTGCCCGACATGGCCCGCAGCACTCTCTGGGCGGGGGCTGCCTGTTGCTTCATTCAGCGCTGCTGTGTCTGCAGGCTGAAGGTGCTGGCCTTGGCAGGCAGGAACCCAAAGACGTGGCCCAGCGGGCCCTGCCAGACTGGCACGTTCTGTTGGTACCTGTGAGAGGTGCCTAGTCTCCACCTCCTCTCTGTGGACCCTGAGGAAGGGTCTCTGGGTAACCCCCATGCACCAGGTCCCCCCAGCCACCCCGTCGTCAGCTTCAGGACATGACACAGCCCACAGCACTGTGCCTAGTGTCTCACGGACACAGACCCGGCTGCAGGACAGATGTCCCCCAATGTCACAGCCTGCACAAAGCAGGGCCTCGAGACCCTCTCGTCCCCACCCTATGGCAGGAACACTGTGGAGGTCTCAGGACAGCCTGGGCTCTTGCTGCACGATGGAAACACCAGCTGTGCGTTATCCCACGCATGTACACACACCGCAGTTCCTCCTGCCCCTGCGGCCAGCAGTGTCACAGGAGCCCAGATTCACACACCCAGATGTGCAGCCTGCACCCTCTCCCCCACTCCTGGGCACACTTAGAACATAGCACAGGAGGCGCCACCAAAGGCCACTGCCCCCAGATGCCACCGCCTCCGCCCACACAGCCCTGGGCACAGTGCCTGACTCCCTGGTCTCACAGGCCCCACCACATGCCAGCTTGCTTGGCCAGAAGTCGCTGCTCCCGTGTCTCCCAGGCCCAGGGAGCCCTGGACCAGCTGGTCATCACTGTAATCACAGGGCCACTGTTGGCACCATGCCCCTTGGGAAACCTGCAGCCCTGACCTCAGTTGTCCCCTTGTGCCTGCTGGGGAGGGGGAAGATGGTGGAATGGGGCTCAGGGCCCAGGAAGATGTGGGTCAGAAATCTTGCCTTGGGCACCTCCCTGCAGACTGAGGCCAGGTGGGTTAAGAGGGGGTGACAGGCAGGACCAGGGTGGCCCACTCTCTCCCTCAGGAGGGGCAGAGCAGCCTCGGTCACAGCTCCCAGCCCTGCTCCCCGGTGGGCTCCAAGGGTCGGCAGCTCCCGATGTTGGCATCTGGGTCGTCCACAGCACCCCAGACCTCTGGTGGCCGAGGGCGGGGCCCAGGCATTCCTGTGGTCGGCAGCCAAAGCTGCAGGCCAATCGGGTCCCAGCAGCGGCTGACGCCACTGTCGACGCGCAGTCCCTCCACACCCATCCTCCCTCTCCTCCTCCCACGGCCCTGGCCCTCAAGGAGGGAGCCGGTGCTGGGCGGGGGCGCAGGAGCTGCAGGGCAGAGGCAGACGAGGGGCCAGGACCCGGCACCAGGCTAGGCCAGACAGCCATAGTCTGGGGCATCCGCGGCAGGGCAGGGCGGGGTACAGGCAAGCGGGACGCTGTCCCCACCGCCCTGAAGGCTCCCTGATGCGGGAGCCCAGCGGGATGGCAGGAGGGAGAGGTACGTGTGGGGCCCTCCTGTGCCAGGCTGGAGGGGTGAGTGCGGGGCGTGGCTCGAGCATCCCTGTCACGTGATGTTTGTGCTGCTCGTGGGTGTGGGTGTCTCATTGTGCTCCGTGCACCCAGAGTCCGTGCGTGTGTGTGTGTGTGTGTGTGTGTGTGTGTGTGTGTGTGTGTGTGTGTGTGTGCTGGCCTCCCACCCTCAGATACTTCCCTCTGCCTCCGTCAGGGCAGCTCAGTCAGGGCTGGGCCAGGCGGCCAGGGCCATAGGCCTGCAGCCTGTTCCCGGCCACCTCCTTTTTTGGCAGGGCCTGGGCGCCGGCCCTGTCATTCTTCAGCAATGCAGCGTCAGCCTCGGGAGCCAGTGCCAGGTTCCAGGCCCGGGGATGGCAGAAGGTGGCCCGGGGTCCCTCCACTGCCTGCCATGGGCCTGCCCCTCCTCTGGGCTGGTCTCAAGGGGACAGGATGTGGCATGGCCCCTCCTCAGAGGGTGGCCTAGCAGCCAGGCCTCAGCTCCCTGTCCCTGGCCCACCCCGCCCTGGACACACCCCTTGATGGCTTTCTTCTCTATCCTCACTGCTGCCACCTCAACTAGTTTCCCCGCCCCACCCACGTGGCTGTGGCTACGAGCAGTGGGGTCCTAAGGGGTCGCAGGGCAGCATGGGGTGGCCCTGGGGATCTGGAACACAGACTTGGGGACATTTGAGGCTGCAGGCTGTTCTTGCTGCCGGTCCCATCTGGAGCCTGTGAAAGAGAGAGAGAGAGAAAGAGAGAGAGAGAGAGACAGACAGAGAGAAACAGAGACACCCGCCACTTCTTTGTCCTCCCCTTGGACTTTGTCTGGTGTGTGCCCGTCCACCCCTGCCTGGTCCTCCCCCCCACAGCCCTTTGGGGTGCCTTGGGGGTCCCTGCTCACATGTGTCACTGTCCCTGGCAGGCCTACTCCCAGGACGCCTACCTGAAGGGGAACGAGCCCTATTCTGGAGAGGCCCGCAGCATCCCCGAGCCACCCCCGCTCTGCTACCCCCGAAAGACCTACGCCCCGCCAGCCCGGCTGTCCGCCTGGGCCACTATGGTGCCTGAGCCCGCCTCGGCCCTGCCCAGCGACCCCCGGAGCCCCGCCGCGTGGAGTGACCCAGGGCCCCGCGTGCCACCCGCCACCCGCACCCCTTCGGAGCCCTCTTCCTCGGGGATGAGCCAGCCCCGTCCGAGCCCCGGCGCCTTCCTTCACCTTCCCTCGGAGCCCCGGACGCCCCAAGCCTTCCCGGAGCCCAGCGGCCGGGTGCTCCCCAGCAGACTGGAGTGCCAGCAGGCCCTGTCACACTGGCTGTCCAAGCAGGTGCCCCGCAGAGCGGGGGAGAGCCGGTGCCCGGCCATGCCGCCCCGTACCCGCAGCGCCTCCCAGGACCGGCTGGAGGATGTGACTGCCCACCGCGTGTGGCCCTGCTCCACATCCCAGGACGCCTTGAGCCAGCTGGGCCAGGAAAGCTGGCACCAGGCTCGCTCGGAGGATTATCTGGGCCGGGCCACTCGCTCTGCCGAGGCCCTGGGGCCAGGCGCACTGGGGTCGCCCCGCTTTGAGCGCTGCGGCTGGGCCTCCCAGCGCCCCACTGCCCGCACGGTCACCTGCCCCGCTCGGGATCTGCCAGGGCCTCAGGCCCCACCTGTGCCCGGCCTGCAGGGCCTGGATGACACTGGGTACGTCGGCTACCGCAGCTACAGCCCGTCCTTCCAGCGCCGGACTGGCCTCTTGCACGCACTTTCCTTCCGGGACTCGCCCTTCGGGGGGCTGCCCACCTTCAGCCTGGCCCAGACCCCCACGCCATTCCCACCTGAGGCCTCTGAACCACCCAAGGTGTCCAAGCCCGAACCCAGCACCAGGGCCCTGGAGCCCCCCACCGATGATCACCGCGAGGAGGTGGTGCTGAGGCAGAAGCCACCCACTGGCCGCAAGGGTCCACCGGGCCCCACCAGGCAGATGAACCTGGGCTTTGGGGAGGAGACCCTGGAGCCAGAGGCCGGTGGGCGAGGCGAGCGCCCGGGCCGGAGGGTGGCCCCTTTGGCCACCACTGAGGACTCCCTGGCTTCTATCCCCTTCATTGGTGAGTGACAGGGGCAGTCGGGGGCTTGGCTTGCTGTGCCCACCCACGTGCTGTGCCCAGGGCCCGAGTGGGTACGGATGGGATCTTCTACTCTGTCCATCTGTCCTTTCGTTCTCTGCAGTTCATTTGTGCTTTCCAGACATCGTCTTCCACTTTTGCTTTCCCTCCTCCATCCCCGCCCTTCTGTCCATCTGTCTGCCTCGGATCCTACCCTCTTATTTTTGAGACAAGGTCTTGCTGTGTATCCCAGGCTGGCCTCAAACTCATGGCGATCCTCCTGCCTCAGCCTCCCGAGTGCTGGGGTCACAGGCGTGCACCACCACACCTGGCACTGCTCTTTCTTTTGTTCCTCCTTTCATGTGTTCTTTCTTTCCACCTGTCCTTCCCTCTGTCTGTCTGTCCTTACTCTGGTCCCCTGGCAGATGGTAGCAGCAGGCTGTGTGGGCTCCTCCTGGGTGTGCGGAGGACAGAGCAAGCCAGGGCCATAGGTGTGGCCCAGGGAACTCGGAGGACAGGGAAGGCCCAGTGGCCTAGACAGGGCGTGGTGGGCATGGAGAGAATGCTGGAAAAGAACATTTTGGCCAAGACTTGAGGGATGGGGTGGGTGGGTGGGACGGGCCTGTCTGGGTGATGGCATGGGCCACCTGCTGCCAGGCAGGAGGCCGGGGAGCCCCTAGGTCCTGGCCTGGCTGGAGGTGCTGCCTCACCTCCTGTGGGGGTGGTTGGGGCCCAGGAGGAGCCGAGGCCTCTCAGATTCTTGGTGCCTGTGAGGGGCAGCGCTGGGTCCTGGAGCTGGGGAGGACCGGCCTGGCCAGCAGGTGACACTTGGGCGGGGCCGTGCTCAGGTGCCCCTATCACTCACTCCATCCCAAAGAGAGTAGAGCAGAGAGATGTAGCCCCAAAGACTCAGTCTCGGGAGCCCCAGTCTGAGGGGGGAGGCTCAGCCGTGCTGCTGCCCGTAGAGTGTGTGTGGGGCAATGCTGCAGGGCCGTGGGGGGGCTCTGGGCCGAGCCGAGCAGCTGTCTACGGCTGTTACACCGTGCTCCCTCCCCGACAGACGAGCCTACCAGCCCCAGCATTGACCTCCAGGCCAAGCACGTCCCTGCCTCTGCTGTGGTCTCCAGTGCCATGAATTCGGCGCCCGTCCTGGGCACCAGCCCGACCTCACCCACCTTCACCTTTGCACTCAGCCGCCACTACTCGCAGGACTGCAGTGAGTGCCTGGTCCCGGGGTGCCTTCCAGGGCCCTAAGCTCTGTCCCCATCTCCTGGCCTGTACTACCGGCCCTGGGATGAGCTGACCACGCGGCCGGTTGGGCTTTGCAGGCAGCATCAGGGCCGGGCGCCGCTCTTCCTACCTGCTGGCCGTCACCACTGAGCGCTCCAAGTCCTGCGACGATGGGCTCAACAGCTTCCGGGATGAGGGCCGGGCACTGCGGTGAGGACTGGGCGGATGCGGGCAGCGGGGAGGCCACTGCCCTGCAGGGCGGCTGTGCTGCAAGCCTGGGCAGCTGCAGGCCAAGGTCCCCTGGTGCCACCCTGGCCCTCACCCTGGCCCTTGCTCCTCAGGCGCCTGCCAAGTCGCGTGCCCAGCCTGCGGGTGCTCCGGAGCTTCTTCACTGACGGGGTGAGCGGCGCGGGGCAGGGTGGCTGGAGCCCGACTCCAGCGGGTGTGGGTGTGGGTGGCATGGGTTTCTGACTGACCTGAGCCCTGGGGTTCCTGCTCCTTCCTCCCCGACTCCCCGCTCCGCCCTTGTGACCCATGACCCACCCTGCACCGCCCACCCAGAATCTTGCCTGGCTCCTGCCCTCCTCTAACCTGGGGACTCACTGCAGTTCCGGCTGGCCTCGAACTTGCAGCAGTTCTCTTGCCTCAGCCTCCTGAGCGCTGGGATCACAGGCATGTGTGCTAACACACCTGGCCTTTCTCACTTGGTCCTGCTGGGGAATTTCAGCACCCACCTGACCTTTCCCAGCTGCCCCCTCTCTTGGCGCCTTCTGCTGGCCCAGACTCCCTGCAGGTGGGGTGCTCTCTCGTGCTGTGGTCCTGGGGCCCCTGGGACCCATCCCTGTGCCTCCCTGGGGAGATGCTGCCCATGTGTGAGTGGTGTCTGCTGCAGGCAGCATGCTGAACAGGACAGGGCCGGGGACAGCAGCCATACTGATGGTGAGGCTGGACTTTTGGGGCAGCATCGGGTTAGGTGTGTAGCAGCTGCAGCTCCTCCTCCTCCTCCCCCTACACCACTGGGAGTGAGCCCCGGGCCTTGAGAGCCGGGCAAGAGCTCCCACCCAGCTGCACCCTGGTCCTGTGACTCTTCCCTTTTCTTTTTCCTGTTTTTCTATTTTGAGACACGGTTTCCCCTTGCTGGCCTTGATGGCGTGGTGATTCTCCTGCCTCAGCCTCCTGAGTGCTAGGATCATAGGTGTGTGCTATTGTGCACTTCAGGCATTGGTTGTTTGGGGTGTTGTAGTACTAACTGAGGCCTAGGGCCTTCAAACTGAGCTACGCCTCAGCCCTTTTTGATTTTTTTAAAATTTCAGGGCAGTCTTGCTAAGTTGCTAAGATGCCCAGCTGGGTTTGCACTTTCGATCCTCCTGCCTCAGCCTCCTGGAATGCTAGGAGTGCAGGTGTGTGCCACCACGTCTGGGCTGACTGTTTATGGACTGGAAAATTCATTTGGATTTGGCGCCCTCCGTGTGGTGCTTGGTTTGATAGCTTGCCCCCACCGCCACCCGGCTGGCTCTTTATCACTTCCTGGGTTTACTTAACTCCCCTGCCCTTGTTGTCTGCCTCTGGACACTGTTGACATCGTCACTTCCTCCCTGTGACCCCTCGAGGCCATGGCTACCTGCTCTACTCCCTCGGTCTTTGTTGATGTTCCCACTTCCCCGTTGACAAATCGCTTCCGGTTTCCTTGATTCCTTCCGGGCTGTGAAGTTAGCAGGGTGTGAATTGACTTTTCTAGTTGAGGAGGCTCGGGTCAGCCTTCCCGCTTCGGGCTTCACTCTCGTGGCTCAGAGAGGCCAAGCCAGGCCCTGGAGGTTGCACAGCGCTTTGGAGGACGACGCAGACATGCACCAGGCCCGTGAGGCTGCCCGTGGCCCAGGGGGCTCCAGAGGCGCTCACTGGTGTAGTCCCAGCCACCCTCACCCGCCCCTGGTTCTGTCCCTGCAGTCCCTGGATAGCTGGGGCACCTCCGAAGATGCTGATGCCCCTTCGAAGCGCCACTCAACCTCTGACCTCTCGGACACGGCCTTCAGTGACATCAGGAGGGAAGGCTGGCTGTCTTACAAGCAGGTCCTCACCAAGAAGGGGAAGGTAAGACGGGCGGGAGGCCGAGACAGGAGGACGCAGGTTGGGCCATGCAGCTGCTGGAGGCAAAAGGCACGGCAGGGATAGGAATCCTCGCAACCCGTCTCCCTGAGACCCACGGGACACCCCGAAAGCGGCAGGGGGAACAAGGGCAGAGTGCCTCCAGGGGAGCCCAGGCCCGAGAAGTCAGGGGGCTCTGCCTCTTCAGGCCCGGCAGCCCCAGGCCGCTCTGGTACCCTGCTGAGAGTTACAGCAGGGGGTGGGGAGGGGGGCAGCTGGCTTCCGGTGAAGGGGAGAGATGAGGCAGCTGCCTGGAGGGGAGAGGACCCGGCAGTGGCCACCATGAGACCCAGGTGAGTGAGAAGGTGCAGGGGCCTGCCCTGTAGGGAGGGCAAGGACAGGCAGGACCCAGAGACCCCGGGGGAAGAGCCACCAGGGGTGGCAGTGCCCTGCTGACCCCCAGGTCCACTCCAGAGCAACCTGGGGCCTCACGGTGAGCCTGGCTGACTCCCAACCCCTGACCCTGCGTGACTCAGTACCCTAATCTGGGAGTGCAGCCCACGTCCTCTGTGCTCCTGAACTAAGTTGTCAGACAAAGGAAATAACATGGGAGGTGGGGACTTTGTGGTGTGGTGAAACAGGAGGCCCTGGCTCAGCCCTCAGCCCCAGAAAGTCACAAATAATACGAAATATGTAAATAACCCAGTGAGCTGGGCGTGGTGGTGCACACTGTAATCCCAGCCCTCAGGAGGCTGAGGCAGGAGGATTGCCTTGAATTTGAGGCCAGCCTGGGATACATAAGGGAGTTCAAGCTCAACCTGAACTGCAGAGCGAAACCCAAATAAGTAGAATGATCTCACCCCACACAGCAGTACACACCTGCAATCTCAGCCCCTGAGAGGCGGAGGCAGGAGGATTGCAGCAAGTATGAGGCCAGCCTGGCCCACAGAGTGAGACCCTGTCTCAAGAAACCTAAGTGACAGTGATGTGGGAGCTGCTGTCCCCCACTTGGTAGCCATCAGTGTCTCTCAGGATCGCAGGGATCAGTTCTGGCCCCCACCCTGTCAAGAGGACACCGAGATCCCAGGCATCTCAAGTCTTGTATATAAAATGGAGCAAAACCAGGTACTGTGGTGCACACCTGTAATCCCAGCACTTGGGAGGCTGAGGCAGGAAGATCACCATGAGTTCAAGGCCAGCCTGGACTACACGGGGTGTTCTCATGTTAGGATTTTGGTCTCAAAACAACAACAGCAACAACAAAAGCAGTATAGATCACACACATCCTCCCATCAGTTCATTTTTTTATTCGTTGTAGCGCTGGGTGTGGAGCCTGGGGCTTTCATACTGAGCCACATCCCTGGCCCTTCTTAATTTTATTTTGTGACCACATCATGTTGACTCACTCAGTTCCCCGGGTTGAGTTTGAGCCTGAGATCCTCCTGCCTCTGCCTCCTGAGTGCTGCCATCGCAGGGATGTGTCCTCATGCCCTCATGCCTCTGCTTTAAATCATCCTGGGGACTTGAAGGGCCTTGTAGGTGTGGCTGCTGTGCGCGTGGTCATCTTGCTGATGGAGCGGAGTGCGGCCTGCTGGGGTGGACGCCATGTTTTTCCCAGAAGGCTCTGTTGACTGGGGTTAACAAGTGTCTGGTGTTGACACCCTAAGCCTCCCTGATCTGTGGCCAGGAACAGGGTCTCCTCTGCTGATGGCTGCAATGAGGAGGGCTGGGTGGAGAAAGTACATTTGGCCCAGGACCTGTGGGGGCACAGATTCAGGGTGGGCCCTGGAGGATGAGACCTTGGGGGAGAGGTTAGAGAGGAAGGTTGGCCTGGCTGTGTTCGAGGCCTGGGGTATCCTGATAGAGGAGTACCCTGCACGGTGGTGAACACCTGCAATCCCAGCACTCAGGAAGCCCAGGCAGGAGGATTTCTATGAAATTGAGGCCAGCCTGGGTTCCATACTGAGTTCAAGGCCAGTCTCAAGACCCCGTCTCAAAAACAAACAAATTAACAACAAAAAATGGCAGCCACTTCCAGACTTGGTGACCTGGGAGGCTGAGACAAGAGGTTTGCAAGTTCAAGCCCAGCCTAGGCAATTTAGTGAGACCCTGTTTCTTTCTTTCTTTCTTTCTTTCTTTCTTTCTTTCTTTCCTTTTTTTTTTTTTTTTTTTTTCAGTCTTTTTGAGACAGAGTTTCATGACACAGTTCAGGCTGACCTTGAACTCCTTTAGTAGTCCAGGCTGGTCTCAAACTTGGCAGTGACCCTCCTGCCTCAGTGTCTTGAGTGCGAGGATTACAGGCATGCACCTCCATGCCCAGCTGACTGTTACAAAATAAAAGAAAAATTCAAAACACCGGGCTGCAGCTGTGGCAGTAGGGTGTGAGACCCTGGTTTCTATCCCTGACACTAAGCCCACAAAGCAGAGGTGGTGTGACCACAGAGGGTCAGCACACCAAGCTGAGTGAGCAGCAGGGGTGTGGGGTGCCGCTCTTGTCCAGTGTGGACTATGAGCCACCTGGAGGGTCCCCCAAGCTCCTGTCCCCAGTGCTGGGGGTGTGAGTACTTTCAGAGGCTGAAAGACAAAAACTGGATGTCACTTGACCCCTGGGTCAAGAGTCGGCCACCTATGTGGCTGCCGTCCTCTGTCCTGCAGAGCTCGCGAAGGAGGTGTGTGACACAGAACCTACAATCTGACAGGGTACCCCAGATTTGCAGGGGACCCGGTGGAGCCGGGGTCATCTGGCTCCTTTAGTCTCAGGGAGCCCTGGGCACTGCCTCTCTGTAACCCTAGGATTCCCCTGGAGAGGAGTTTTTTTACTTTTTTGAGATAGGGTCTTGCCGTGCACGCCTGTCTGACCTAGAACTTGCAGTGATCCTCCTGCCTCAGCCTGCTATATGCTGAGACCAAAGGCCTTTGTGTTTGGCTTTGTTTTTGTGGGTTTTTTTGATACTGGGGAGCCGACTCACAGCCGCATGCTTGCCAGGCAGGTGCTGTGCCTCTGGGCTCTGTCCTCCACTTGGAACTTGAGGCTGCCCCACCGTGAGTTCTTGACCTCAGCCTCAGTGGAGAACCCGGGCCTGCACCAGGCTCCCCCAGGGAGAACTCTGATGATGTCATTGTCAGGGGGTCCCCGAGCCCATCCCAGGTGCACCTGTCCTGGCCAGTAGTCACCTTGCCCTGCCTTGATCTGGTGGGGGATGCAGCTCCCACCTTGAGTGTGGCTGAGACCCCAAAGCTAATTCCTCGGTGGTGTTAATGGCCCCTCATCCCAGCCAGACTCCGGGCCCTGGGCTGCAGAGAGCAGGCAGACGAGCTCCCCACCAGGAGCTGGGGAGACGGACCCGAGGCTGTGGCAGGTGCTCAGCATTGGTCAGTGATGTGACCAGGGTGCCTGTTCGGAGGGGCACTGGGGGGAGGAAGTGGTCCAGGAGTCCCTGGAGGGACAACAGAGGTGTCTTTGACTCTTGGGCCTGTGGGGAGCAAAGGAGGGAGCTACCAAATCATAGTATGGGCACACCTGTCCCTGGTGCTGGAGGCTGAAGCAGGAGGGTCGCTGCACATCGGAGGCCAGCCTGGGACACCAGCCTGGGACACGCAGGCACTGAACCAGGGGAGGCCGGGCCAGGGGCAAGAGCGTCCCGCGCGCGCTCACGCGGCTCTCCGTGTCGTGTCTCCGCAGAAGGCGGGCGGCGGCCTGCGCCAGTGGAAGCGGGTGTATGCCACGCTGCGGGCACGCTCGCTCTGCCTGAGCAAGGAGCGGCGGGAGCCCGGGCCGGCGGCGGCGGGGGCTGCGGCGGCCGGCGCAGGTGAGGAGGAGGCGGCGGCGCCCGTCTGCATCGGCTCCTGCCTGGTGGACATCTCCTACAGCGACACCAAGAGGAGGCACGTGCTCCGGCTGACCACCGCTGACTTCTGTGAATATCTCTTTCAGGCTGAGGACCGCGATGACATGCTGGGCTGGATCAGAGCGATCCGGGAGAACAGCAGGGCCGAGGGCGAGGTAAGCTGGGCGCCGGGGCTGCGGGGGGCCGCAGGGAGGGGCGACCCCACCTTCGGCTGTGGTGCTGACGTTGCCCCCTCTCCTTCTGCCTAGGACCCCGGCTGTGCCAACCAAGCTCTGATCAGCAAGAAGCTTAACAATTACCGCAAAGTGAGGTGAGGCTCGGCTGAGGGTTCGGGGGGTCGGGGCTTACCCCTAGGAACCCCAACAGTCCTGGGTGCAGGGTCTGCCGGGCCCACCAACACCACTCTCTCCTCTTTCTCCACAGCCATGGCTCTGGGCCCAAAGCTGAGGCCTCCCCCAAAGTCTCTCGGGGGCTGGGGGGGCTCAAGCCGGAGTTCCTCCGGCAGAGTGCGGCCCGCGCCCTCAGGACACAGGAGCAGCCCGCGGGGAGCAAGGGTAGGCGTGGGGCACGGGTGGGTGGGTGGGGGCTTTTCCCTGCCTTGAGCTTCTCCCTAGGGAATAGATGCCACCCACCGTGTCCCCAGTGTGTCCCAGCTCTTGTGGCTCATGTGATACGGCCGTTTACCTGTCCTCTCTGCCTCCCCCTCCCAGATGACAGTGCAGCTGCCCCCAAAACCCCGTGGGGCATCAACATCATCAAGAAGAACAAGAAGGCCGCCCCGCGGGCCTTCGGGGTCCGGCTGGAGGAGTGCCAGCCGGCCACAGAGAACCAGGTGGGCCCCTGCTGCACCGGGCGGGCCAGCGGGCAGGCAGAGATCTCGGCTCGTGGCCGACGCTATGGGGAGTTGGGGGACCCAGCCCGAGGCCACCAAGCCTGGGACCAGCGCCGCCAGATCATTTTCCCTCCGCCTAAGGACCGGAGGTGGCAGCGTGGGAAGCTGTCCCCCTAACACCCACCCCGCTGTCCCCAGCACGTGCCCCTGATTGTGGCCACCTGCTGTCGCATCGTGGAGGCCCGGGGGCTGGAGTCCACCGGCATCTACCGGGTGCCGGGCAACAACGCTGTGGTGTGCAGCCTGCAGGAGCAGCTCAACCGTGGACTCGGGGACATCAACCCCCAGGACGAGGTGGGTGCGACCCAGCTTTGACTGGGAACCATGCTTCTGGGATTCAAGGCCAGCTCGCAACTCCTTCAGACTTGGGGTTTTTCGATTCGCTGTGCCAAGGAGCAGGCTCAGGGCTTCCTGCATGCTAGCCCTGTACAGATCCCGGGCTGGGCTGGGAGAACACACAAGGTTCCCAGCAAGGCCAGCCACCGGTGGCCAGGAAGGGGCGGGCCACACAGGCTGGGGGGCTAGCTGCCGCTTTCTTTTGGCTTTTTTCCTTTTTATCGGTCCCGGGGATCAAACTCATGACCGCCTGCTTGCAAGGCAGGTGCTTATGCCGCTGAGCTAAATCTCCAGCCCCTAGCTGCAGCTTTCTGTAAGAGCTTGTAGCTGGGGGCTCGATGCAGCTGCACACAGACTACAATTGGAAGTGTGTGTATGTGTAGCTGGACATAGGCGCACACCTGTCATTTCAGCCTCTCGGAGGCTGAGGCAAGAAGATCAGCACTAGTTTGAGGCCAACCTGGCTACATAGTGAGTTCAAGCCTAGCCTGAATTACGTAATGAGATTTGTCTCAAAGAAATGAAATGAAATAATAAGTAAAATAGATAAAAGCAAAATAAATTTTTAGCCAGGCACAATGGTGCATACCTGTCATCCCAGTTAACTTTGGGAGGCTGAGGCAGGAGGATCACAAACTTGAGCCCAACTTGGGCAGCTTATTAGCCAGAGTCTGTCTCAGAATGAAATTTAAAAAGGGATGGAGAGGGGCTGGGGATTTAGCTCAGCGGCATAAGCGCCTGCCTTGCAAGCAAGCAGTCGTGAGTTTGATCCCTGGTACCAATAAAAAGGAAAAAGACAAAGAAAGGGGCGGGGTGGAGAGATAGATAGCCCTAGGTTTCACTCCTGGCACCGCAAAGAAAACAAAGTTTAGAACACAGGCAGTGGCTCTCAAGCAGTGTTCCCCAGAGTCCCAGGGTTCCACGGGCAGCCATGGCAGGGTAGGACCCCTGCTCTCCTCTGCTCTGCTGTGCTATTTCCTGGAGGCTCATGTACGAGTATTTGACAGAAGAGGCTCTGATGAAAAAGAATTTTCCTAGAAAACCATGAACGTGGCCAGTAAGTTCCCAGTGTCCTCGTGGCCACCGTCTGTGGGTGCTGGGGAGAGGAGCGGAGGTCTCGGACAGGGTGGTGTGTGGGGCCATGGCATAGGCAGGGGGAGAGGCTGCCAGCCCCAGAGCAGCGCCAGCTCCAGGAGCGGGCTTTGAAGGGTGCCCTTGATTGAGGGGCCTGTGGCATTGCCCAAACCCAGAGAAGGACGTGAGGGTAGACACCTGTGGGGCTTGGGGAAGGCGACTCTGGAGGCCATGGGCCGTGATCTGGTGGAAGACAGGCAGCTGAGGAGGTTTTTGAGACAAAAATATCACTATGTAGCCCAGGCTGGCCTCAAACTTGTGGTGACCCTCCTGCCTCAGCCTCCAGAGTGCTGGGATGAATGCTTGTGCCCCCAGCCCTGGTCCTCTTTTGAGACAAGGTCTCGCTGAGTTCTTAGAGGGAAGCTAAGGGCAGGTCTACTCCATTCCCAAATGCCTGGTGGCTACAGATGCCAGGCCTGGGCAGGGGCCGTGGAATCTGAGGGAGTCTCCACATGAGGGCAGAAGGTGTAGGGTGCAGGGGAGCCCCAGCAGAAGTGGGACCTGGGCAGCTTTCAGAGGGGTTGAAGGGAGTTTGGGCCAGGGAGTAGCCCTGTTGGATTTGGGTCTGAGCCTGGGTTGGAGAGGCCTAGGGCCCTCAGGGGCATGGGTGAAGGGACAGAGGTTTCCACCCAGCAGGACCCATGGTGGGGTGCCAGGCAGAGCTGGGGTGCGGCGTCCTAGATCAGGGCGGCATTGGGCCTCCGAGCCAGAGGAGTGACCCTTGGCTGCGATGCAGGGCAATGGCGCCCTCTCATGGACAAAACGAGCAACCACTGCTGGTCCTGCGGCAGGCGTCCCTTTGGACCGACAGTGGCCTGGCCTCTGTGCCCAGAGGAACCCGCAGCTGGTGCCGTGGCATGGCTGACAAGGCAGCTGCGATGACAGCTCCTGTGGCTGCGGTCGCTGGCCGGGGAGGCAGGTGGAGTGCAGGGGCCTCATGCGGACACAGGGCCGGGTCTGACACCTCTGTCCCTCCCCAGCGCTGGCAGGACCTCAACGTTATCAGCAGCCTGCTTAAGTCCTTCTTCCGGAAGCTGCCCGAGCCTCTCTTCACCAACGGTGAGTCAGAGGCACAAGTTAGGGTGGGCGACCCCAGCCTGCTCCACTGTGGCCACCCGGGGATTGAATCCAGCCCAGCCCTTTATATTTTAAACTTGATTAATTAATTAATCTTTTTGAGACAGGGCTTTCCATGTAGCCCAGGCTGGCCTCAAACTCAGTGATTCTCCTGCCTCAGCCTCCTGAGCTTGGGGTTGACAGGAATGCACCCCCACGCCTGGCCTTTTATTTATTTATTTATTTATTTTGAGACAAGATCTCTCTCAGTCACTAAATTGTCCAGGTTGGCTCCAGTTTGCAACTTTCCTGTCTCAGCCTCCCAGAGTGCTGAGGTTACAGGCATGCACTGCCTTACCTGGCTCTGGTCACCTTTTTATTTGGTTGTTGGTTTTAGTTTTGGGTCTTTTATTTTGAAACAGGGTCTCACGTTATAGTTCAGGCTGTCCTAGAACCCACAGCAGTCTTCCTGCCTGGCAGAGGGCGCACTGTTCCTATCCCCCCGGCCCACTGGGGTGGCAGCTCCCACTGTCTGGGCGCTGGCGCTGGGTGCTGAGGCCTCTCCCTGCATCGCCCTCCGGGCAGGACTCCTCACAGAAAGCAGAGCCTCAGAGAAAGAGCCTTTCCTGACTCTGTCAGTGTTCCCATGTGGCTTGTCGGAAGCCATCCGCACTGTCCCCAGTGTGGAACCGGCAGAGAGGTCGGGGATCCCCCGCAGCAGTGCCGTTGGCACAGTTCGCCCCCAGCAGGACTGTGGCTTTGACCACACAGAGCTGGGTCCTGTTCCAGATCAGCCCTGTGCACGCACGGTGGTCTGAGCGGACTCTCCTCTGCCAGTTCGCTGCCGCAGACCCTGCTACGCCACAGGAACCCTGCAGGTCTGTCCCTGCTCTGGGCGCTTGAGAGGGTTGCTGGGTCAGCTGCAGGTTGCTGGGTCCACGCCTGGTTCAGCAGGGGCCCTTGGGAGCTGAATTCCAGTAGTGAGCGGAAGCAAGGCATTAGCAGGTGGCGCACGCCTGTTGTCCCCAGTCCCTGGGAGGCTGAGGCAGGAGGGTTGCAGATTGGCAAGGGCAGCTTGGGCTGCATAGCAAGAGCCTGTCTCAGAAAAAATAAAAAATGGGAAGCTGAGAAGCAGGCTGAAGGTCACATGGAGCTACTTTTTTTTTCTCTCTCTGTTCTCGTAATTGCACTCAAGATCTCATGCTGGCCAGGCAGGCGCTGACTGCGGAGCTGTGTCCCCCCTCACTACGTTACTGTTACTGCCGTTGTTATTTTTGCAGTGCTGGGGATGGAACCTGGTGCTTCACACACTCGCCCCTGGGCGTGGGGAGTGGCTTCTTACATTGGCTTTCACTTTTCTGGTTACTTAGATTCCATCTCTGCTCTTTACTTCTGGCTTTCTGTTTGCTCCGTACTTTCCCGCCCACATGACATGTCCCTGTTTTTGTGCTGGCCTGTGTTTCTCTGTCTCTGCTTCTCTTTTTGTAGTACTGGGACTGAGTCCTGTGTTTTTTGTTACTGACTAGTGGGAGCGAACTCAATGTGGATTATAGGCATTAATCCTTGGTTTTTGTAAATATTTGCTCTAGTCTGCTATTTCCCTTTTCAATTTAGAAACTTGAAAAAACATTTTTTTGGTATTGGGAATCAAACTTACGACCTTACACTTACCAGGTGGGCACTTGTGCCACTGAGCTAAATCCCTGGCCCCGAAAATGCTTTTTAAACATATCCTTAAGTCATAATTATGACAAACACCTGTAATCCCAGCCCTTGGGAGGCTGAGGCAGGAGGATCCCAGGGTTGAGCCCGAGGCCTGCCCAGCTTAGTGATGGCCCATCTTGAAGCACAAGAAGGGGTGGAGCAGGGCCAGGGGTTCAGCTCAGCGGCATAAGCGCCTGCCTGGCAAGGGCAAGATTGAGTTCGATCCCTGGTACCCAAAAAAAAAGGGTTAGGGCTCAGTTCAATGTGAGGGCCCTGGGTTCCATCCTCAGTGCCCCAGGATGATTGATAGATAGATGGGATAAACAGGTGATAGAGGGATAGATGGCAGATAGGTGACAGTGGATGATTGATGGATAGCTAGATTATGGACACATGGTCCATGGATGACCAATAGGAAAGAGCAAACCTGCCCTAGCCCCCACCCAGCCTGACCCCCCAACCCCCGTCATGTTGCAGACAAATACAATGACTTCATTGAAGCCAATCGCATTGAGGATGCCAGGGAGCGGATGAAGACGCTGCGGAAGCTGGTGAGGGGTCGGGGTGCTGCCAGCAGGAAGGACAGGGTGGGGCACCCCAGGTGCGGGAGACCCAGGGCCCAGGGCTCCCCACTGCGTGGGCTTAGTCCCCCAAGGTACCTGGGAGAAGGGCTCTCAGGGTGGCCCAGATGTGACAGCCCGGTCCCCACTCTCCCGCCCAGATCCGGGACCTCCCGGGCCACTACTACGAGACGCTCAAGTTCCTAGTGGGCCACCTCAAGACCATCGCAGACCACTCAGAGCAGAACAAGGTAGGCAGGACCCGTGGTCCCCTCCTGCATCTGGCCAGTGGCTTCTGGTGTCACCTGAGCCTCTGAGGTTGTCACACAGGGCTGACACCCTGGCCCCCTGCCCCAGCTTCCTCCTGCCGTGCTGGGCCAGGTGCTCAGGGCTGCCCCCTATGGGCGTGCAGGTTGGGCACTGCACCTGGCTTCCAGGCCGGGGCTGGGCACTTCCATCCCGAGCCAGGTGCCCGTCCCCAAGCCCAGGATGGCTCTCCATGCCCCTTGGGGAGGCGGAAGGCAGGGCTGGATGCTGACCCCATCTGCTCACCCTGCCATTCCCAGATGGAGCCCCGGAACCTGGCCCTGGTCTTTGGGCCGACGCTGGTGAGGACATCGGAGGACAACATGACAGACATGGTGACCCACATGCCCGACCGCTACAAGATCGTGGAGACGCTGATCCAGCATGTGAGGGCGATGGGCTCTGTGGCTCCAGGCGGGGCGGGGGCCGAGTGGGTCTGCAGGTGGCACCAGGCCTCGGTGGGAGGGACCTGTAGGGAGACAGGCAGTGTGTGGCACAGAGCCCAGGCTTCACCTCCAGCTGGTACAGGGGCTTCTGGAGGCCAAACACAGGGGACGCCCAAGTCTTTTTTTTTAGGCAGAGTCTTGCTGGGCAGCCCAGGCTGGCCTCAAACCCACGACAATCCTCCTGCCTCAGTCTCACAGTGCTGGATGACAGGGGTGCCCTTCCACTGTAGGACATTTGGCAGCCGTGACCTCTCTGACTAGATGTCGGGACCTCTCCCCAATTGCAGCCACTGGGACTCCCCCAGACTCTTGCCGGCCCTGTGTGGGGAATGCAGCTCCCTGCTGTGATGCGGAGGCTCCGGTCCTGGCACCAGCCTGCTCTCTGGGCCACCCCGTCTCTCTGCCTCAGTTTCCTTGTCAGTAAAGCACAGGAGTAACAGTGCTCAGCGCACAGGGCTCTGGGGAGGGCTACATGAGTCAGGGTCTGCATGGTGCCGGGAAAGGCAGCCTGAGAGTGTCACCAGCCATGGTCATCATTGCCCTGCAGAGCCCCAGACAGGTGCTTGGAGGGGACCCAGCCCTGCAGGTGGGGAGGGCAGAGCTGTGCTGCAGACGGAGGGGTCACGGCTGTCAGGGCAGTGGAAGGTGCCACAGGTGCGAGCCTGGGGCTCCCCAGCCGCTCCAGGCCCTCCCTGAGACCAAACCCGTAGTGCCAACAGCTCGGGTGGAGCCCATGCTGGTTGCGCGCTACCTTCCACACATCCTGGCAGAAACCTTTGAAACTGAAGGTGGCGCCAGCCGATGGGTCCCGGGTGCAGGGCTGGGACCACTGTCCTGGGTCTCTGTGATGGAGAGGTCACACTGGACTCTACTGCCTCACTTCCCCCCAAGAAATAGGAGCCCCCATCATTCTTTCTGGGGTGCTGAGGGCGTGGGGATCTCTGTCCTCATATAACTACTTCCTGCTGAAAGGGGCCGTGGGCCCCCTAATTATGTGCTCTCCGACCCCTCTGGGGTCTTGGGGCTCCCCAACCGGCTGGGGGAAAAGCCTGCCAAAGACACTGAGGAAAGAGCTGTGTCTGTGGGTTGCAATGCCTGGCGAGTGGGGGAGCAACTTGCCGAATCTGACAACAGAGTCCCTCTGCTGTTAGTCTGGGGACGCAGACTTCCATACTTCCTGTGAAGCACAGAGAATGGTAAAGGAGTTTAGATAAATTCCCAAGAGTCTGGGCGTTGTAGTCCTCGCACGATTACCTACATTGTGGATCCGATGGGATCCACAGCTGATTGGGACCCCAGCCCCAACAGGAGTCTCCCGACAGGTGCCTGTTGAACCTGGTGGGTGAGGGGTTATTGGTGACCCAGTTTATCTACACCCACAGCAATCTTTGAGCCTTGCTTTTTGTTTTGTTTTTGCTGTTGGTGGTGTTTTTGTGAGACAGGGTCTTGCTGTGTAGCCCAGGCTGGCCTCAAAGAGAGGATCCTCCCGCCTCAGCCTCCCAAATGCTGAGATTATAGGCCTGCACCACTACCCATGAGTGGAGTCTTGCTTTTGGAAGAAGGGACTCAGGCCTTCTCGCAGCTCGCAGGAGGACAGTGTCAGTCCTGAGAAATCCCCCTGATCATTGTGACGTAGGTTTCTGTAGCTCTTTATCAAGTCCCCTGTGGGAAGGCAGTGGCTCCTCGGGAGCTGAACTACGCTGAGCTCTTGAACTGTAAGGTGCCAGTTTGTCTGAGTTCCCAAGGAGATCTTAGTCATGTGTCTTTGGGGTCTCTTGCCATGAACGGGCAGCAGCTCACTTGGGAGATAGACTGTTGAGCAGTTGTAGAATTTTCTAGGCTTTTGTCTTTTCTTTACCTCAGTGCCCAAGCCGGGGCTGTGCACTGTTTGGGGCAGAGGTCCTGGGGGCAGGGGTTTGGCCACAGTGCTCTGTTGCAGCTGAGAGCTCTGGGATGTCCCTCGAGGCCCTTCCATGGGTGACCATTTTTCCACTGGGTGCTGTCACTTAGGTCCTGCCAGCCCGGTGGGCAAAGGCAGGGGTAAAGCATCTCTGACTAGGGCTCCCCTGGACCCCAATTATGGCCACAGGTCTAAAGGAGGGTGTTTCAGGGGTGGGGAGAGAAGGAAATTAAAGCAGAGTAATAGAACTTGCTTACCCATGATGCCTAGGGTGGCCTGCACGTTTCACAGATGTTGGGGTGTCCTGGCCGGGGCATTGGCTTCTTCGAGTGCCATAGCCCTTGGTCCTTTCCAGTGGTAGAGCCATAAAAGCCTGAACATAAGGGGTTTTACAGCACTTTCCTTGCCCTTTTTTTTTTTTTTTTTTTTGTCTTTTTCTTTTTTATCGGTACCGGGGATCGAACTCATAACTGCCTGCTTATAAGGCAGGCACTTATGCCGCTGAGCTAAATCCCCAGCCCCTACCTTGCCCTTTTCAAAAGGATCTAACTGCAGAATAGTATAGTGCACTCATGTAATCCCAGCACTCGGGAGGCTGAGGCAGGAGGATTGTTGCAAGTTCGAGACTAGCCTGGGCTACAAAGTGAGCTCAAGGCCAGCCTGAACTGCACCACAAGACCTTGTCTCAAAAAGACCAAAAAATAAAAAAGAAATAGAATTTAAATACAGAGAAGGATCATAATTTAGACTGCCATTCTGTGCCCAGCTTTCGCCATTTCTGAGCTGAGCCTGGACCCACACGGGACCACAGTGGAAGCTGTTCTTTCTTCGGATTGTCATGGCCAAAGTTTGCAGCTTTTAAGGGTGCAGCCTAACGGTGCCCCTGGGCTCTGCAGTGTGTCCTGTGGTGTGTCAGGGCCCACGCAGAGGAGACTGGGTCTGGGTGCTCGGGGGTTCCCTGCAGAAAGAGGAGACCCCTGAGTCAAGGCGTCCCTTGTGGGACTCCAGCCCTTGCGACAGGTCTCTGCCCTAGGCAGCTCTGGTATCTTCTTTTTATTTGTTTTTCTTAGAACTCTTCACACTCGGTGGTGCTGCTTGGCTCCTTGGGGAGGGGAAGGAGCCCCATGGCGCCCCGAGAGACCGTGTCCCTTGGATTCATCCCAGTAGTAAAAAATTTGGTCCTTTTTTTAGGGCAAGAGATAGATACCTCTTTTTTACCACTTAAGAGGAATAAAACCCTGGCCCCCAGCAGACCTTACCGGCAGGTCCCCTCGGCTCACTCTGGCCCTGAGGCCATTTCTTTTCTTTCTTGTTTTTTTTAGACAGAGTCTTGCTATGTAGGTCAGGCTGACTTTGGACTCACTAGCCCAAGCGGGCCTTGAACTCATGACCCTCCTGCCTCAGCCTCCCGAGTGCTGGGATTGCAGAGGGCTCTGAGGCCCATTTCTAAGTGACCTGAATTTCCCTTAGAACAAAGAGGGACGGAATCTAACCCAACTTAGAAGAGAAGCAGAGGGGAGTCCCACATGCTTCCTAAAAGCAGAGGCTTAGCTCTGCTCTGTCCGAGGGTGAGATTCCCTGGGGTCCGTGAGGTCAGCAGAAAATGGTGAACAACATGGTGGAACCACAGGCCTGAGCCACGCCGGGGCCGAGATGACCGCCAGACCCAGGGGAAGCTTGGCTGGATGGAACAAGGGGGAGAGGATGCCCCCATACAGAAGGAGAAGGGGGCGAGTGAGCCCTTGAGCACAGGCAGGTTCCCAAAGGCGTGAAAAAGCTCACCAAAGTCTTGGGAAAGCAAAACAACCCTGGGCCACAATGGCATGTTCAACACTAGGTTATATACAAGGGACCCGAGTGGCCCATTTGGCAACTGGGTTAATAACAGGCTTTCTAGCAGCCCCCAACCCACGCAGCTGTAAATACCATGGTGTCCCACTGGTTGCTACCAGGGCCTGCATCCCTCAGCCCTCACATAGAGGGCCTGGAACCTGTGGCACCCCTCCTGCCTCAGCCTCACAAGTGCTGGGATCACAGGCCTGTGCCAGCAGCCCTAGCTTTCTCCTAATTTATTTATTTACTTACGGGACAGGGTTTCACTGTGAGGTTCAGTCTTGAACTCACAGAGATCCTCCTGTCTCAGCCTCCTGAGTGCTGCGATGACAGCTGTGTGCCACCATGCCTGGCCAATTTTAGCGTCTTTCCAGAAAGTTTTCATGTTATTCATACTTTATCATCATCATCATCATCATCATTTGCAGCTCTGGGGATTCAGCCCAGGGTCTTGGCACAGAGCGCGTAGCATTCCTTGTCAGGGTGAGCCCTGGTTACCGACCCCCCGCCCCTGATGTTTTGGGGGACGGTGGTTTTAGGTTCTCAACAGAATAGAGGAAGCTGCAGTGCAGTGATTTCCCAGAAGGCCCTCCGCCCCCCATATGGCAGCCTCCCCATCGCCACACCTCCGTGGGGTGGGACACAGATGCTCTCAGTGTGGTCCTGGGCCGGGGTGGAGCCCTGTGCTAGGGCAGACGGAGGCACGTGTGGGTGAGTGGATGCCGCTGGTCTCTCCGCTCTCTCCGGGCTTTGCCTTTTCCAAAATGACACGCAGTTGGTGCCATCTGCGTACGCCCTTTAAAAGCTGGTTTCTTTCCTTAGTACCGTGGATGGCGTTTTCTCCTCTGCCAGTTATCTTTTTCTTTCTTTTTCAGTTCTAGGGGTGGACTGGAGGCTCCCCAAGCTAGCCACATGCTCTGCCACGGAGCTGCCCCGTCCTTTGGATTTCATTTCGAGACTGAATCTCTTTGAGTCACCCAGGCTGGGCTAGATGTCTGCTCCTCCTGCTTCAGCCTCCTGAGTGGCTGGGGTTGGAGGCCCGTGTCCCCTAGCCTAGGTTTATAGTTGGCTTTTGGGAGTTCTCTGTGTACTGTGGACCGAAGTCTTTTGTCAACTGTATCTTTTGAATATTCTTTCGTTTTTGTACTGGGAATTGAACTCAGGACCTTGCACTTGCCAGGCAGGCACTGAGCTACATCCCCAGTCTGTCAGCTGTATCTTCTGAAAGTATCTCCCCACCTCCCCCATCTGTGGTCTGTATTATTGTTTTAACTGTTCTCTCAGAGCAGATTTTACTTTTTTATACTGGTGTAAGGTCTTTTTCTTTGAAATTAAAATTTTCTGCTCAGCTGGGAGTGATGGTGCACATCTGTAACCCCAGCACTCAGGAGGCTGAGGCAGGAGGATCACTGTGAGTTCCAGACCAGCCTGGGCTACAAAGCGAGTTCCAGGTCAGCCTGAACTGCATAGTGAGACCCTGCCTCAAAAAAACGAAAACTAAATAAAATAAAGTAAAATTTTGAGACAGAGTCTCAGAAAGCTGCCCAGGCCGGCCTCAAACTTGCCATCCTCCTACCCCAGCCTCCTGAGTAGCTGAGATTACAGGTATGCACCACCTTACTGTATTTGGATTTTATTTTCTTTCTTGTCTTTCCTGTCTTGCTTTGGATAGGATAGGGGAGGCTGAGGCAGGAGGATTGCTGGGAGTTCGAGGCTAGCCTGAGCTACATAGCAAGACCCTGTCTCAAATAACCAAAATAAATAATAATAAATTAATTAAAAACCAGCTTCTTAGTTACTCTCACCTGTTTCCAGCTTCCCCCAGACCTGAATCCAGATTGTCATGTATGTTCTGTGTTTGTCCTTTTTTTTTTTTTTTGTTCGGTTGTGTTTTTAATTTTCAGTTTTGTTTTGCTTTTGACTTGGGGTCTTGCTATGCAGTCTAGGCTGGTTTTGAACTCACTTTGTAGCTCAGGCTGGTTTCAAACTCCCAGTGACTCTCCTGCCTCAGCCTCCTGGTAACCGTCACCTTTTCTGTGCTCATCCTCCTGCTCTGGGTGAACTGCTTCCCCGCAGCAAAGGGGGTCTGGGGGTGCACTTTCCGGTGTCTTAGGACAGCTTCAGGTCACCTTCACAGCAGACTTAGGGATGTAAAACCCCAGGTTCAGAACCACAGCCCTCAGCATGTAGAGGACCACACTTCTCCAGGGTCCGCTGTTCTCAGGCAGGGGTGGTACCCTAGTGTGCAGAGTGGGGCACCCCTGTGGCCTAGAGTGTGCTCAGCGCTGGCTGCTTCTGGCCGGCATGGGGTGTGAGACACAGTGGGCCAGCCCATTTGGGGACAGTGGGGACAGTGGGGTCGAAGGGCAGTGGCCTCCAGCCTGGCTATCCCAGGAGGAGTCCCCGTACCCCTGATCTCCTCCCTTTGTTCCCCCCACAGTCAGACTGGTTTTTCAGCGATGACCAGGACAAGGGCGAGAGGGTAAGTCGGGGGGAGAGGTAGGCCCTGGTCCTGGGGGCCCAGCCATCCGGCAACTCACCTGCTGACCCTCCTGTCCATTGCAGACCCCCGTGGATGACAAGGAGCCCCAGGCGGTGCCCAATATTGAGTACCTGCTGCCCAACATCGGCAGGACGGGGCCCCCTGGTGACTCCGGCTCAGGTGAGCAGGGATCTGGGAGGGCCGGGTGGGAGGGACTCTGCGGGCACCTGGCCCCTGGCTGGGTGTCCCCTCCTGGCGCCTGCGCCAGGGCCTGCCGAGGCCGGGCCTCTCCTGTTGGGTCGCAGTGCCCTCCTCTTCACTCTTGGGGTGCTGTGTTAATCTGTTCCTCCTTTCCTCTCCCTGCCTCCCTCCTCCAGCGGACCAGTCGGAGAGTTAAAGGGTACAGTGCGGTGTTGCGGCCTCGGTCACTAACAGTGGCGAGTGATTAGAAGAAGGCTGGGCAGGCAGGGGTCCCCTCCCCACCTCGATCTAGTCACCCCTGCCAGGAGGAGCCTGTGGCCACATGCAAGCCTGCTCCTACCCCAGCCCCGGACTCTGGGGCCACATTCCGTTACCCAGGACTAGGGAAACTTGGTGGGGACTCAGGGGACCTGGCTTCTTTTTTTATATATATATATATATATTTTTGGCCTTTTTCCTTTTTATCGGTACCCGGGATCTAACTCACGACTGCCTGCTTGCAAGGCAGGCACTTATGCCACTGAGCTAAATCTCCAGCCCCCGGGACCTGGCTTCTTTAGGGACCAGTGAAGAAGCCTTTCTGGCTAAGCATGGTGGCCCACACCTGTAACCCAGCATTCAGGAGGCTGAGACAGGAGAATTGTCAGAACTTGAGGCCAGCTTAGGCAACAGTGAGTTCAAGGCCAGCTTGGCCTACGTAACAAAACTGCTGTCTCCGAAACAAAGACCAAAAAGCTTGGTGTAACCAGCTCCCGCCTCAGCTCGGGACACCTGGCCTCTGTCCTCCGAGGCACCCGAACGGCCCCTGGCTGCTGGCTACTCTGGCCGAAGCCCTAGCTGTCCAAGGCCCGGGTGGGTGGCCGGCGCCCCCGTCTCTTCTAGTCACCCGCTGCACCCTGTGTGTCGTGTGGTCGCCGTCTTGCTCTTCTCACTGTGTGGGGCGGGGCGGGGCTAACCTGCCTGTGTGGGAGTGTGGAGTGTGGATTAACCACTGGCAGGGGACATGGCAGGACCTGCTTCTGGGTCCTGCTGGCCCCAGCACACAAAGGGAGTGGGACTTGGTCCTTCCTGACTGCCAAACATGGGGACTCTGCCCTGGGGACAGTTTGGCCTGAGCTGTGGCTCCGGCCCAGCCCCCTGTCCCTCCCCTGCACCTGCTCCATTTCCACCATCACTGCTGCCCTCCCTCCCTCTCCCCTCCTTTCTGCCTTCCCCCTCACCCCTCCTCCCTCTCCTCTTCTCCCCCCCCCCCCCCACCTCATGTCCAGGGCAGCACCATCACCTCGCCATGCACGCTGTGGTCCCATCGTCCAGATCCGTGGCGTGCTGTGTGTCACTGTGGTGGTCTCTGTGATGCATCGACATTTGGCATTTTGTCCCCGAGTGACAGGGACAGGGTGGGGGGCCAGGGCAGGAACCAGGCCCAAGGAAAGACACCCTTGCCTGTGTGACCTGGGGTGGCAGCTGGGTTCACTCCTGCCTCTTGATGGAAGTGGTGAGTGACATCATGTCCTCCCTGTCCCCATCCATTCCCCTATAGAAAACGCCACCCCACAGAGCTGGGCATGGTGGCACACGCCTGTCATCCCAGCACTCGGGAGGCTGAGGCAGGAGGATTGTTGGGAGAAAGAGGCCAGCCTGGGCTACAATGTGAGCGAGACCTCATCTCAAAAAGAAAAAAAGAAAAAGAAAATGCCACCCCTGTCACTCACCCTCCTGGGGCCCGGAGATCTTGGGGCTTTGCCTCCCGGGTTTCTGAAGCCTTCAAGGCAGGGAGCTGTGTTCCAGGACTCGCCTTTCTCTCCTGGGGTGTAACTTCCATTTTCTTTCTGTTCCCCCTCACAGACTTCACCACCTGCAACTCGGCCAAGTCCAAGGTAGGCGCCTGCTGGCCCCTGGGTTTCAGGCAGGAGAATTCGGGGATGCCAGGGTCTGGGAGTAGAGGAAGATCTGGCCTGGGAGCCAGGCGCCCAGAGGCCAGGAGTCTCAGGAGCACTCAGTTTCAAGTGCTGTCTCTGCCACCTAGCAGATTTGGGACACTGCGGGAGTTATTTAATCTGTGCCCGACCGTCGTCTGCTTTCTCTGTGTCTGATGTGATCTGTGTGCTCCAAGGCCCTTGGGGAGCCTGAGGCAGGCAAAGGGCAGACAGGAATCCGTGAAATGGGTAACAAGGGAGATAAGCACTGAAATCAAAGCTGGTTTTTAACAAATAAATAAAGCTGATAAACTTCTAGCTAGCCTGGCAGAGTAGAAAGACCAAAGGCAGCACAGCATCACTGCCAAGCAGGCGCTGACTGTGGCTCTCTGCCAACCAGAGCCCAGCCCAGGAGAAGCCCACCAAGATCCAAAACCCACATAAGAAGAAACAGAGTTTTAAAAAGAAGAGCTAGATAACCTACTCTTCCTAGCCGAGGAATACCAGACCTGTTCCAACAAAAGAAATCAGACTTCTCTTCGTGATTCTGGGGTTTTTTTGTTGTGTTTTTTGTTTTGTTTTGTTTTGTTTTTTTGAGACAGGGTCTCTCTATGGAGTTCAGGCTGGCCCTGAGCTCACTGTGTAGCCCAGGCCAGCCTCAAATTTGTAGTGGTCCTCCTGCCTCAGCCTTCTGAGTGTGGGAACTACAGGCGTGCACCACCATGCCCAGCAAGATATCAAGATTCATTCTTTCTTTCTTTTCAAATCCATTTTATTTCAAGGAAAGGAAAAACTAAAAAATTTCAAAGCACATGAGGGGACAACCATGGTACATACATTGCACATTGTCATTCCCAAATCAGTCACCCAGAACACAAGACGTCCCCTTTCAATTGTCCAAACTAGACCAGCACAAATCTTTCTCTTCACTGAGCTCAGAGAAATCAGTAGTGTAACTACCTTAACTGTTTTGGATACACACATACATCCATATACATATGTTATTTCAGCTTCTCACACTAGTGAGACTGATGCTTACACATGTGTCTTATCTGAGTCTGGTCTCAAGTTGCTTCCATTTACCTATAAAGGTCTTCAGTTCACCCTTTTTATGGCTGAGTAGTACTCCGTTGTATTAAAAGTACCACATCTTTTGTATCCATTCCTCAGGTGATGGGCATTAGGTTGTTTCCAGTTACATAGATCTGGCTGTTACAAACTGTGCTGCTGTAAACTTGGGGCACATACATCAAGTGTTCTCAATTCTCCCGGGAAAATGCCCGGAAGAGGAAGAGCTGGTTGAGTGAGAGCTCCAATCCTATTTTTTAAGGAATCTCCACACTGATTTCCACAGTGGCTGCACCAGTCTGCACTCCCACCAACAGTGGAGAAGGGGTCCTTTCTCCCCACAGCCCCTCCAGCATTTGTTATTGGTTGATTTCTTGATGGCAGCCAGGTGGAATCTCAGTGTTGTTTTAATTTGTATCTCTCAAATGACAGGTGATGCTGAACATTTTTTCACACATTTGCTGTTTCTAAGAAATCAAAATTCTAATTAACAACCTCTGGCAACAACCACCAAACAAGCGGGGGGACCCTCCAAAATTCACTTGTCACCTCTCGCCCAGAGCCCCTGGGACTCTGAGGCCGCACCTGGTGCAGTCTGTGGCCCCGGGTTGGGGTGCAGAGGCCGAGCCCCACCTGCCTGCCAGCACTGTGCTCAGACAGGAAGATAAACCCCAGCCCCGCAGATTGGCCCAGCCTGGTGATATGGTCTGGAAGGAGACTGGACAGTCAGCACATGGGCGAGTTGTGGGGGGGTGCAGTGGAGTCATCCCGCCGCTGCCCCCTTGAGCTGGGAGAGCAGGTACAGGCAGCTCTTCTGAACAGCCTGATGGCCAGGTGTGGGGCATGTTTGTTATTCCACCTATTCAGGAAGCTGAAGCAGGAAGGTGCCAGTTGGAGGCAAGGTTGGGCCATTTAGCCAGATCGTCTCAAAATTATAAAGAAGGCGAGGAGGGGAGTGGTGCTGGGAGAGCAGTCCTGGGTTCCATGTCCAGAATAAAAAAAAAGAAACCCAGGAGGTGAGGAGATGCTAAAGGCTGCCAGAATGTGGAATCCAAGTCCCTTCAGAGTAAGGGCTGGCCCAGCAGTGTCCCCACAGTGAAGGCTGGGCTGGCTATGGTCAGGGTCAGGGTGTCAGGGGTCTCTGGGCCCTACAGGTCTTGAGTAGAGCTGGGAGGTGGCCAGAGTCCTGCCCCAAGTGATAGCTCTGAGGGAGGAGGGACTGGGTGAGGCCATGGCACAGCCAGACAGCATTGTTAGGATTGGGCAGTGTAGCCTGGGAGGGTGGGCCTGAGGTGACAGCTGCTGGGCACACCCAGGGGTCGTGGCTGGAGCTTGCAGAGGCCATCTGGGCGCAGCAAGGCCCAGGGGTCTAGGGAGGCTGCGGGGGGTGGGGGGCAGCGAGCCCTGGCTCCTGATCTGCAGCTCTGGCTGGGCACTAGGCAGGGAGCCTGGGGCAGAGGAGTCCAGACCCGCCTTGGAGCCAGGCACCCAGCCTGAGCTGAGCCAGAGCAGATGGCAGAGCAGCGACCCTCGGGGGTCCCTGGAGGGTGGTGGACGGGGTGCGGAGGCGCCCTTCATGCGGATGGCTGTTTCCCCACACAGGCCCCGTGGGCGCCCCGGAAGGAGCCGTGCACGCGGGAGATGCTGGCGATCTCCTTCATCTCGGCCGTCAACCGCAAGCGCAAGAAGCGGCGCGAGGCGCGGGGCCTGGGCAGCAGCACGGACGACGACTCGGAGCACGAGGCCGCCCAGGCCGGGGTTCCGGGGGGCCCCGAGCCGCCGCCGCCCCCCGCCACGCTGGCGCCAGACGCACGCTCCGTGGTGTCCGGCTACTCCACTCTGTCGTCGGCCGAGCAGGGCACGCGGAGGGCAGGCGCGGGCGACGAGGCGGACGACGAGCGCAGCGAGCCCAGCCTGGCGGGCACCGACACGGAGGGCGCGCGGGGGCGCCGGCCGTCGTTCAGCTCGCACCGCCTGATGGCCGGTGACACCCTGGCGCGCCGCCGCCTGAGCCGGGGCCGCGCCAACCCCGAGGACGACCGCGCGCCCGCTCCCGGCTCCGCCTCGTCCAGCAGCCAGGAGTCGCTGCGCCCCGCGGCGGCCGCGGTGGCGCTGGGCGCGCGGCCTTCGCGCCTGGAGACGCTGCGCCTGCGGCTTCGGGGCACCGCCGACGACATGGCCGTCCGCCTGCGCCGCCCGCTGTCTCCCGAGACCCGGCGACGCCGCAGCAGCTGGCGGCGCCACACGGTGGTGGTGCAGAGCCCGCTCACCGACCTCAACTTCAACGAGTGGAAGGAGGCGGGCGCGCAGGACACGACAGGCGCGCGTGCGCACAGCGACAACAAGGACTCGGGGCTCAGCAGCTTGGAGTCCACCAAGGCTCGCGCCTCGTCATCTGCCGCCTCGCTGCCCCCCGGGGACCTGGGGACCCTGCAGGGTGTGGCCCCGCGCCTGGCCTCCACCTCCCACCTCCACCCATGTCTCTGACCCGCGCGTGCACCCCACTCCATCCCCCCCCCATGCACTGGGGCCCTGGACCATCCGGCCGGGGCAGGAGGGCTGCAGGTCACCCCTAGTTTGTGCCGGAATGGAGAGGAATGGAGACGGGGGGCCTGGGGTCTGTGTCCCCGTGTGTGTGTGTGTGTGTGTGTGTGTGACCGAGTAGGCCCTTCAGTGTCTGCCCCCACCCTGTTGACCGTGGAGCATGGGTCTGGAAGCCCCAGGTCCTAGGCCGGCCTTGGGCTCCTCACTGAGGCGGGGTGTGGGTGTGGGGAGCCCATGCGTGGTGGGCGTGAGGGAGAGGGCTTGTGTATGTGCTTGTGCATCGTCGCTGTCCAAAGATGCTGCCGGTAGCAATTCTGCTCCTCCACTGCCCCCCCCCCAGCCCCCAAGGCCCTTCCTTTGGGACACTCAGGGTTCTGTCCCTGCCCCTCTTCAGAGCCAGAGAAGGGGTTGGGCCACAGACGCAGGACTGAAACCCTTTTGCTAACTTCCATGTCGTTCCGGGCAGCGATCTGATGGTAGGGAGATACTGATCCCAGCAGTTTGAGGAGGGTCGGGATCCCCTTGCCTGTACCCTCCTTTTTTGTTTTGTATTGGGTGTTTTGTTTTTGGATTTTTTGGGGGGGATGGGATCTCAATATATCACCCAGGCTGGCCTTGAACTTGTGGAGATCCTCCTGTCTCAGCCTCCCGGGTGCTGGGAAGACGTGTCCAGCAGCACACCCAGCCTCCTCTTCCCTTTTTGCTCCCCCATCTGTGCCCACTCTTCCTCAGCTCAAGCACGGGGACTGCACCTTCTTCTCTGTAGGGAGAGGGGCAGTCACCAGCCCCCCTGGCATCTCTGTCACACTGATTTACTGGGGCCAACCTCGTTGACCCTGCCAGGTGGAGTGGAACCCAGTCTCCTTTGTCCCCTTGCACTGTACATAGCCCTCAAGTCACCAGGCCCCCAACGCCCCTTCACTCATTCTCGGGAGGCCCCATGGATCATGGGTGGACATGCCCCCCCACTGTCACATCTGTCAGTCTTGTTTTATGCAGATTTGCTGTAGACTCCTCTCGCCTCCCCCATCCTTTTATTGTAAATATTGTCTCTAAATGTGTAACATATTATAAAGAATTTATAAGGATTTTTAAAGATGTTTTTCTCATTTAAAAAAGTGTTGTAACAGTGTTGGATAAAGGCCTCCACGTGCGCATGGCTCCTGGCACCGTGTCCCTGACACACCGCTCTAGGTGACAACTAAGACTTCCTGCTTCCCAAAAGTCCTGTCTTTACAAGTACAGTCTTTATCTTGGAAATAAATGGCCTTCTGGAGTCGGCAGTCTCACTTGCTTGGGAGCGAGAAGGGGACAGAGCAGGGCTGGGCTGGGTGACAGATGAGGTACCGGGAAGGGGGGCTGGGTGGAGGCAAATATCTTCCTGCTGCTGGCTTTTTCCATGTCCTGGGAGACTGGTGTGGGTCTCACTGTGTAGCCCAGACTGGCCTTGAACTTGTGGAGATCCTCCTGCCTCAGCCTCCCCAGTGCTGGGACTGACAGGTGTGTGCCACCATGCCTTGCCTCAGATCTGCCTCCTAAACAGTTCAGGGAACCTTGGAGCTGAAAGGAAAGTCCATGGGCGTCCACGGGAAGAAATAAAGCACATCAGCCAGGTTGATTACAGAGGTGTTAAGAAACAAAATATTTGTGTTATCACTTCTTTCTTTGTCTTCTATTTTGTCTTTACTGTATATAGCAGTAATTACAGAACTGTTGGGTAAAGATGTAACTCTTAGGACAATGCAGAGTTTATAGGAGCAAAATTTTTATATAATATTTAAATCCATATTAACCTGAACTAGCTTGGTTTAGAGCTCAACTAGCAATTAAGAGGCTAGTTGTTATTCCCAGGGAAACCACTAAGAAAATAACTCAAACTGCAATAAACGAAACAAAAAGGGAATTCAGAAGATCACTTAGAAAATATTTTACACAAAAGAAAGGATTCAAGGGCTTGAACAAAAGGGGCACAGTGTGTGGGGGAAAGTAACAACAGTCTGCCCTGGGCAACGGTCACAACGGATGCCATCCCAGGCAGGTGGCAGAGGACAGCAGGAAGTTGAAGCTGAGACCCCACTACAAGCTGTCTACAGTTCACTGTTTTTTGGTATCAGGAATTGAACTCGGGACCTTGTGTTTCCCAGGCAGGGGCTTGTGCCGCTGAACTATACACCTGACCCTTGATTTTCTTTTGATTCAAAGATACAAAAGAGGTCAGGTGTGGAGGTACACCTGGGAGCTAAGGCAGGAAGATGGCAAGTTTGAGGCCCACCTGGGCAAGTTAGCTATTTGGCAAGACCTCAAAATTAAAAAAAAGGAGGGAGTGAGTTGAAGATAGCTCAGTCCAAAGGCCTTGGCCACAATCCCTATCTATCAACCCAGTGGAAAATTGCATGATTTAGATTGCCTTTGTAAACATGAGGCTAAGCTAGGCATGGTGGCACATGCCTGTACCCCAGCACTTGGGAGGCTGAGGCAGGAGAATCTCTTGAAACAAGAAGTTCAAAATCAGCCTGGGCAACATGGTGCGTGACCTTGTCTCTGAAATAAGGAAATGCCCACAGGAGACCCAGAGAAGGGTGCAGACAGAAGATGAAGGCTCTCGGGGCCTTGCCTGCCCTGTAGGGACCTGGGATTGAGGCTGGCCTGATCTACCCCTATCCTGGCCTTGCTTGGCCTTCCCTGAGCCGACGGCATCTCCTGCCCAAGACCCCCGAAGATGCAATGAACCTTGTACATGTAGTTGTACCGAGGAGTCAACAGCTGGGGAGGCGGGGGCTGGGGCTCAGGGGTAGAGTACCTGCTCGGCACCGGCAAGGACGTGGGTTCAAAATGCTCCCTTTTTCCTCCCTCCAAGGGATGAGTCCTTCCTGTCACCGCAGCAAGATCGGGTCACTTCTGAGACAGTTGTTCAGGGACACTTTCTGTCCTAATACCCTCTGGTCGTTTTGACCGCACGTGACCTGACCACCCACTCCACATTCTTGGCTTTTGCTCATCTGGGACCTACAGCTTACTGTGCACCCTGCGGGCTCCAGCCTGTGACCCTCAGCCACTCCTCATTATTTTCTGCAGGTACTGGAGTTTGAACCCAAAGTTCTTCACTCTGAGCGACACATCCCCAACCCTTTTTGTTTTTTGAGACTCTCGCTCAGCTGCCCAGGCTGGACTACAACTTGTGATCCTCCTGTTTCAGCCTCCAGCGGGCTGGGAGTCTAGGTGCACCATGGTGCCCAGCTGCCACTCCTGCTTCTTCAGGACTCCATGCATCTGTGCCCCTGGGCCTGGCCACACTCAGGAGCTCCGGGCACCCACTGCTCTTGCGCTCTGCTTCCCGCTGCATCCTTGCTCTGCTCGGTGCCCGGGCGCTCCAGCTGGTTCCTGGGATAAAGGTGGAGCCTCGGTCCCAGCCAAGCTGGGAGCCGCATGGCAGGTGCGGAGAGCATGAGTGAAGCACCTGGCACCACCCTGGCGCGTAGTTGATGGTTGTTTTCCAGAACTAGGAAGGGAGGAATATGGCTAGATCTGCGAACACACAAAGCGACACAGGTGTCCCCACAGTAAGATGCGAGTTTGGGGGGACACTGGGGACCTGGGCGGGAGAGTAACGGGCAGACAGCTGGCAGATTCCCAGCTCTGGGCTGCGGGGTTATCCCAGACACTGTGACAACGTGGGGGACGAAAGTGATGGTACTGGGCCAAGGGGCGAAGAGGAGACACCAGCCTCAGGCCGCAGCCAGGACGAGGATAAGCACGGCCTTGGGGACGCTTGGAAAGGCCGCTTGGAACCTGCTGGGTCAGTGGCGCAGCTTCGGAGGCCCACACAGGACAGCAGGGCCGCTGGTGCACACGAAAGCACCAAGGTGGGAAGTGTGTGTGTGCACGTTGCAACCTCAGAAGTCCACAGGCTGCTACTTTAGAAGATTCGGGAGGTGATCGAACCCCATTTGGTTTGGGCGGGAGGCTACTGCTATGGTTTATAGCTAATGCCCCCCAAGAACCTCAGGTGCTCCCAGGTGGGGCTTTTGGCGGGGAATGAGTCACAGGGACTTAGAGGAGACTTGTGCAGAGGAGGCGGAGCCTGCTGGGAAGGGGCGATCCAGGGGCGATCCAGGGGCGATCCAGGGGCATGGCCTCTCCCCAGCTCCGCCCATCCTGCTTCTGGGCTCCCATGCCCTGAGCAGCTCCTTCTGCCAGGCCCTTTGCCCCACTCTTCCACGTTGGAGCCCCGTTGACTGAATCGTGAGCCAAAGTCAACCTTTTTCCTTCATTTGTGGGCGTCAGGTTATTTCTGACCCAGCAACAAGACAGTGACTAAGACAACGGGCTTTCTGTGTGAACCGCGCTTTGTCAGCTGCAGGTGTAGGGGGTGCCCAGGGCCAGCTCACTGGTGGTCAGGAGACTGAAACAGAATGCTGCCTGCCTGGGCCAGAACTAGCCGCCTCCGACTGTCACCGGGTCCTTCTGCTGCGTTCTCCTGGGTTCTGATGGCCTCAGGGCGGAGCCAGCCCTGCTGCTCCTTCCCTGGTGCTGTAGTGTCCCCACCCGGCACCTCCCGGCCCTGTAGGGTGAAGAAGGAAGCAGCAGAGGCCGGAAGGAGATCCAGGAGAGGAAAGAGAAACAGGTTTTATTAAAGCCCCAAACACTCGGCTAGAAAAACCGAAGAGGAAAGAGAGCAGGGAGCTGGGAAGAAGGGGGGGGGGGGGGGAACCCAACGTTGAAAAAGACAGAAAACACAGCAACCCTTTTCCATTTAGAAATTGTCAAGTTACACCGACAGAGGTCACAGAACATCCACAGAAGCCGTCACTGCTACACCAACAGGGTCCCTACGAGGCGGGCGGGGTGGAGCCGAGCCTGGCTCAGGACCAGACTCCGGGGAACAGCACGGTGGCAGGGGCACGTGAAGCCCCCATGCGGGGCGCGGTGGGCAGAGGAGCGGCGAGATGCACGGCATGCAGCGGGGTGCGGACGTGCTGCGGGCTTGGGGTGGGGGGCTCTGAGCAAGGAAGCCAGGCGGAGGTGCGGGGACGGTGAGACGCACACACGCACACGCATGCACACGCACAAGGCCGCAGAGGGGTCCCATGCACCTCCGTGTCCACGCCTTTGGGGTCCCCATGTCATGGGTCTCTGGAAGCCAGGCACGTCTGCACACACGCTGCACACGCCGCGTGTTCTCACGTGCAGAGCGCCCTCCCATGCACAAACAGGCAGGCACGTGCCAGTGCCCAAGCGGCTTACACGCGCCCTCGTGCACATCTCTCCTCCCCTCACACGCACACGCGCACACACAGGCCATTCGCGTGCACACACTCCTCATGCATCTACACGCACAGCTAAGAGGCCTTGGACCTGTGCACACGCACGCACAGCTGCACCCACCCAGTCGCAAGCGCCGCCCAACCCGGCTGTGTGCGGGAACTAAAGCAAGAAAGATGCGGATCCCACTGGACTCTCCTGGAGTGGGCGGGGTGGGGTCCCCTGTATCGGCCCCACACGGATGGACACTCCCCTCCTCTCCCCCACAAAGGGACATCAACTCAGGACGACGACAGTGGGGTACGCACTCAGTCACAGGGCTGAGGTGCTGTGAGGCGCGCGAGTAGCAAGCAGAGTGATGGAGCGGAGGGAGGAGGGGGCACCACTCCCCCCTCCCCTCCCGAATGGGGGGGTCTCTGTACCCAGACCTAAGCATCGCGCCCCTGGACTGGCCTCAGCCCCGCCTTGCTGTCCCCAGGCCCCAGCCCTGCCGAGACAACGGTCAGGGAGAGAGGGCCATGGGTTCCTTTTTTTTTTCTTTTTTAAATATTTATAATATATTTATATTACGTATATTATATATATATAATATGTAAATATATTTTTAAAACAATATAAAATGTTAAGACACTTCACTTAAATGTAAAGAGTTGCCTGCAATTAAAAGTAATTGCATCATTTATGAGGTCCTTTTTTTTTTTTTCCTATTTTCTAGGTTTTTTTGTGTTTTTTTTTTTTTTTTCTGGGAGGGATTTTTTCTCTTTGTTATTTTTCAAAAAGGCTCACTTGCCTTGGTACAAAAATGGTCTGAAGCTAGAAAACAAGGATGAACCAACAAAAAACAGAAACCAAAAATAATCCCAAAGGAATGAAGAAACATCACCCAGCCCCCCCAACACTCAGCAGCCCCCCATCCCCCCACCCGGGGCCCCAGGGACATGGGCTCTGTCCCCTTTAATGGCTCCTCCTCTCTGTGCTTATGGGGGACAATCCCCAAGTCCCTTCCCTGTGCTTCCCCTGTCTTTGTGCTCCAATTTGGAACCCTGTTCCCTGGGGCCGCCACTCCATCTCCTCCATCTATCTCTGTCCCTGTGCCCCTGGGCACCCCAGGACTGGAGACCTATAGCCTCCATCCTCCCCTCCAGGCCTTGGGGACCCTCAAACATCTCATCTGTAGTCATCAGATCCCCACATTACACCCCCTCCCTGAAAGCCCTCAAGTCACAAAAAGGATGCTGAAGGTCAGGTCAGCCCTACCTGTGGAGTCAGAGCTATGCTCAGGGACCCCAAGCCCCCGGCTATGCTCCCCATTTCCCTCCCACCCTCAGGCTTCCAGACCCAATCTGCCAGGCCCTTTCCTGGTCACCCCCCACCCCCATCCAATAAGTTAATGGCATTTAAAGTGCTAAATTAGGAAACTAAAAGTACAAAGTCTCCTTCTGGCCGCCTTCTCCCCGCCAGCTGTGGCTCAGTGGCAAGCTGTCCCCACTGCCTCCCTCCCTCCATGACAGTGTCCCTGATGCCTCCTCCTGGGCTAGCACCAGCAGCTCCTCCCCACCAGTCAGTGGGGGGCTCCTCGGGTGGGACAGCAGGCCTGGTCACCTCAGCCACACACCCGGCCCAGACCGTCAGTCCCAGCCTCAGTCCCTCTGCGGCCCCTGCTGATGCTTCTGGCCTCTGGGTGTGCTGGACACGCTAGGAAGGGGCAGAGCCGCAGCGGCAGCAGCGTTCTGTCTCCGGGCCAGGGTCACGCCCATCCCCTGGTCCCTGGTCCTGCCGTAAGCTGAGGTGGCCCCAGGTCTTCATGGGGCTCCAGACAGGGAAGGGAGAGGGCTCTCTCGCTGCCACCGCCGCTCCAAGTCTCCGTGGCTCAAAGTTTGCTTGGAGTTTTCTCGAGGGGGGGGGCAGGGAGGGGAACAGGGCAGGGGTGAGAGAGAGAAGGGACAGACGATGACAGGAAGAGGCCACGGGGAACAGGGAGTCAAGGGAAGGTGGTGTGTTTGGTTTTCAGTTTTACTGTTTTGACTTTTTAAAAAAAGATAATTAAAAGTGAATCATTAATGAAAACAAAACCAAAAACACCAACAGGAGGAGGAGTGCAGAGGTATGAGGAGGGCCATGTGGTGGGGTCCCCCAAGGGTCCATGGGAGAGAGGCAAAGATGGCAGGAAGAGGGAAGGGATGACTGGGGGGGGGCGGTGCAGGGCTTCTAGAAGGTTCTAGAAGGAGATGGAAGAATTCCTTGCCCCAAAGGAAGTCAATACGGGAATGGAGGTTCTGGAAGCCGAGGGCTTTTCTGACACTGGGCTTGAGGTCTCATTCGACCCGCTCATCTCTTTAGATGGTTTAGTGGCCTGGAACAGAAACAGGGGTGGGGATCAGAGACAGTGGAGATGGCGGCCTTCACGCCAGGCTCCAACTGGAGCGTGAGGAATGGAAAACCTCCAAGATCCAAGAGATGACACTGGAGGGTCACAGGGGAGAGAGCAGAGCCCTGACTTGGGGAGGCAGGGAGCGGGGCTTAGCAGGGGCAGAGAGGAAGCGGGGGGTGGGGGGACGGTCCACAATTACTGACAGGAGAGAGAAAGTGGAAGAGACACCAGGAGGACAAGAGAGACCCAGCCCGGGACAGGCAGAGGGGACAGGGTGGGGGAGGGGAAAAGAAGTCAAAGTCAGCAGCTATGCCGGGTGTGGCACAGCGGCCAGCAGCCAGCCCAGCCTCGGGGTCCCCTTTGGCCTCCGACTGCTAAGATGCCAAGCAGAGGCCTCCGGTGGAAGAGGGTATGCTGCCCGGAAGGACCCTGCCCACCATCTGGGAGGAACATTCTGAACCCAGCCACCAAGAAAGTGTCTGATGGCCCAGCTGTCCCGTGGAACAGGGAGGCCACTGCCTCAATGGGTCCCTCATTCCTGGCCTGCTCACCTCCCACCCGCCGGTCTCTACACTGACACTTATTCTCTGGAGCTATGGTTGGTCCCCAAGCAGACTCCCAGGCCCTCCAGACGTGACCCTGATGATGTGGGCACAGGGATGCGCGGCTGAAGCAGCGCCCTGACATTTTGTTGCACCATTAACCTTGGCATCTGCGGGGTGAGGGTCACACAGGGTCACACTGCTCCCCACTGTCCCCAAATGAGGTGTCACTCCCCTTTGTTCCCAACCAGCCTTTCTAGTTAAAAGCTGCTTCTGTTCTTTCCTTCAACATTTCTCAAGGGTTAGGACTCTCTGGAACCCCAGCCTTTGGGCACGTGATAGGGGGGTGACGTGTCCTCACGAAGCTCGCTCCCCTGCCCCAGCCAGGGTCAGCCTCCTCGGGCACCACCTTCCCTCCCACAACACTGGCAGTGGTGCGGTCCCCAAACCTCTGTCCCAAAGCTTCAGGCCCAGCAACCCCATCCTGGGCTGCGGGTCTGAAGATTCCTCGCCTCCTTCTTTCTGTTCTGGAGAACTTGGTTCCCCACCACCACCACCACCACTATTTGCCACAAGACACAAATGTCATGGCTGCTCAGCACCGTGCTTACCAGGATTGCCTGCGCCTCTGCTCTGGTTCTGACCGGAAGTGGATCGCCTCCCTGCAGAGCCTGAGGGCTAGGCTGCTCCCTGTGACCCAGGGACCAGCAGGAAACTTGCCCTCTGCCCTGGGATGGTCACAGCCTCTATGAGTCCTATTTGTGTCATCAGCCCGGGGCGGGGGGACGCTCCACAATGTGGCCCCCAAAGGAAACCTGCAGATTTATCCTCACAGAAGTGGGGTACCTGTGGCTCCTGCACCCTTGATCCTTGTACCCCTGGGAATCTGGCTGCATTCACAGGTAGATGCCAACCACAGACTCCAAGGGCTCTTCATCTGTCACATCCTTTGTGGAGCTCAGAGATTTCCAAAGACCCTGCCTGTACCTGGTATACGTGACCTCAGAGTGCCCCTAGGTTTTCCTCCCCACTGCATGAGCGACAAAAGGGGCCCAGGGAAGGCAGAGAACTTGGACCAGGCCACGGACTGGGCTGGTGGAGCTGTGTCCTCGCCCCGCTGCTCTGGGAAGGCATCAGGTACACACTGCTGATGTGGGGCAGAGGCGGATGGGGAATCGGGCCACGAGCCGAGTGACCAGGAAGAACCCTGGCCAGCTGAAGAAGGGATTCAGATTAGGACCACGCCCCGGCTTTCAGCGGATAGAATTTTGATCTGCATTTTCCTCATGGCGGCTGCCATCTGCAGTCTCAGCACTCTGGGAGGCTGAGGCACACAGATCACATTTTTGGGCCCAGCCTGGATAACTTAGTAAGACCCTGACTCAAAGGGCCCTGGGCTCAATCCCCAGTGTGCAAAACAATAAACTGCAGCTCCATTCCTGCAGGCCTTCTACGGCAGAGGTTAAAATGAGGGCAAAATGGAGAGGCCTCTACATTTTGTTTTGCTTGCATGGGAAACCGAACTCAGGACCTTGCGCTTGCCAGGCATCAGCCTCTAGGTTTCATTGTTTCTTTCCCCCAGTATCAGGCTGGAACTCAGGGTCTCTCATGGGTCAGGCAAGGCTCTACCAGGGAGCCGCGCCCATACCCTGAGGACAGCATGGGGAGCCAGGGCACAGCGCACCCTGGCAAGGCCAACGTGTACCAGCTGGGGTGGGCAGTGCCTCCTGAGGGGACAGTTATGAGTGGGGACCCTGGCAGAAGACAGCATGCCTTGAGGCGCTGAGGGCTGCAAAAGTGGGCGGAAGAGAAGCCTCCAGAGGGCAGCCAGAGGGTGGCAGTGAGGCCCACAGGGCCAGTGGGTTCTATGAGGCTCAGAGGTGGGGAAGAGGCAGGCAGGGGCGGGGACAGCCAGCCATAGGGTGGGGACACTGGGGGCTGGGCCATGTGTGTGGGAGAGGCCTGCCAAGGCCCCGCTCCCTACCTGTCAGATGGGCACCCTGAGGGCTCATAGTAGTGGTTGTGAAGATGCTGGTGCCTGGCTACTGTGCTTCTGGGCACAGAGGGACCTGCTGGCCGGGACAGGGACTCTCATGCACAGGGTGGCCAGGAGGACAAAACCTAGAGGGGGATGGGGCTGGAAGAAGAGTAGGGCGGGGTGGGAGGGGCTTTGGGGTGCCTGGGACCAGGTGTATCTGGGGTGCTCCCCGCTGCTGTTGGCCTTTGGGGAGCCCCTTTCCACTGCAGCTGTCCCTGCTTCAGGCACAGGAGACTGCTTGCCCGTCCTCCACCTCTCCCATCCCAGTCCCTGGCACAGACACGGGGACCCACGGAAATCCAGGCCTGGGAGCTGTGATGTAGGCAAGGCCCATCAAGGGGAGGGGCGGCCAGACAGGGCAGTGGGGCAGCAGGGTGGGGCAGGGCCTCAGAAGGACTCAGATTCTGGGGCGGTTGCGGCCCATCTGCCCCCACATCAGGATGAAGGGATTCCTGAGGGGGCAGGGCCTGGCTAAGAACTCTCTTTTTGGGGTCCTGAGGGTTGCACTGGAAGCCTTTGCCCTGAGCTGCATTCTCAGCATCTTTGTCTGATTTTGACATTGTCTCCCTTAGTTGTTAAGCTGCCCAGACCAGATGACTTTAGTCCTCCTGCCTCAGCCTCTCAGAGTGCTGGGATCACAGTCCAGCGGCATCATACCTGGCTGAGGACTCGAGCTCTAAGCCAGACCCAAGGTGCGGGTATACTGCAGACGATGCTCCCATGGCCGGGTGGGGAGGGCAGGAACATTGGGTGGCAGGGGTGCCCCACTGCAGACCTCACCTGCTGCTGTGCCTGGATCCTCATGTACTCTGCCCGCTGTTTGCCATGCTTGCCTTTGTCGGGGCTGCCTGCCTGGCCCTGGGCCGCCTTCAGCCTCGAGGCCCCGGGGGTCACCACCTTCATGGGTGGCACAGTGCCACCACCACTCTGCAGAGAGGAAAACTGGGTTAAGGAGGAGACTGGGGGCACCATGACACTCGGGGATGGCTGGGCCGGGCCTCCTGGAGACACAGCCTGAGCCTAGGTGCCCACTCCCGCAGGACAGCCCAGTGCCCAAGCACACCCTGGTGGCTTCCAGAGCAGCACACATGCTCCCCACCCCTGGGGGGGGCCCACATCCAAAGAGGGTCCCCAGCACCGCACTGCTCGCGGCAAAGGGCTCCTTCCTATGCCTGAACCCAGGAGGGCAGAGCAGGCCTGGCAGCCTCCGGCCCGCACCACCCTCTTCATGGGGAGCAGGAAAGGTCTCCCTACACACAGGTGAGGCTGGTTTACTTTTTTTCTGTACTGAGGATTGGAACTTCACAGGGAGCTTCACCCACACCCCCAGTTTTTTCAATTTCTTTCTTTTTGCTTTTTTAGAACTGGGGATCGAACTCACAGCCTCACACTTGCCAGGCAGGTGCTTGTGCTGCTGAGCTGGATCCCCGGTCCTCTTTTTAAAGGAGACAAAAATCTCAGGGTGTTATTAAGTTGCCCTCATCACTCAAATGTTTGAGCTTCCTGCCTCAGCCTCCTAGTGTGCTGGGATGACACGCATGCCCACCATGCCCAAGTAAGCCTGGCTCTTTGAATCACCTCAGGTACCAGGCCTGCCCAGAGGGGCTCTGGGGACCCAGAAACAGGAACAAAGAAACGAGAGCAGAGAGAGTCGGAGACAGGAGGAGGGGTGCTGGGGTGGAGGGGGGAGAGATCTTTATTTGCTGGTTTACAGGTACAGAGCAGAGAGAGAGCAGCCCCATCCGGTTCCCGCAGAGGTGAGGGGGGCTGAGTCCCGGATGGGCTGGCTTCCCAGCCTGCCCCGGCTCGGCCTGAGATCCGACAGGGTGGGGAGCAGGGCGAGATGGCTGGCCCTCCTGCAGTCCTGACACCCTCCACTCTGAAGACCCAGAGCCTGGGGTGGCAGAGCAGTAGGGGCAGACAACAGAGGCAGCCACCTGGGGTCTGGGGTGCAGGACAGAGGGACCAGCAGGGGGCCCTGCGCCCAGCTCCCTCAGGGTGGCCTCCAGCTCCTGCAGCGTCTCCTCCAGGCTATCCCTCCACATTGTGCAGCTGGGGTCACCCGCTGGCAGCTCCCCACAGCAGGTTTGTACCCCATGACCCCAGTCCCTGAGGGTCTCCTCTGTAGCTGTCTGCATGGTGGGGGGCTCCTGAGTCCCATCCGGGGTTGGTGCCCAGGGACAGTTGCCTCTGGCCAGTCTCTTCCCAGCTGCCCCACCCTTCACAGGCACCAAGCTGCTCCTGGGCCAGGAGGCTGTGGCCACCAGCTCCGGCAGAGCCTGGGGCCTGGGGCTGTCCAGGGTCCGGGGTCTCGGTGTGGGGGCCGAGCAGGCGCCTGGATCCTCACTGCTGCCTTCTGGTGGGGATGGGGCACACTCTGTCAGGATGATCCGGGGGACGTAGGAGGCTGGGGGTTCTGGGGCCGCCTGGGGAGGAAAGGAAGGTGGCTTGGAGCTTAGTTCATTGGGAAAGTCCCCATGAAGTAAGCTCCAAGCTGGGTTATGGGCTACAGGTGGGGAAACTGAGGCAGGGCAGGCCCTGACTGGGCTTACCCAGCAAGTTAGAGGGAAAGCTAGGACTAGAACTTGTCTCTCTCCCGACCTGTGCTCTTCTAATTTCTGGCAATGACAGCTGTCTACAAGAGAAGCCACAAACAAGTCCACGTCCCATGGCCCATGTGAAACCCAGGAGCAGGTGTCAGGCCCTTGCCGGGACCATGACATGGGCACGGCAGAAAATAAAGCAAGGCCATCGGAACCTATGCCCCTAAGTGTGGGCTCTCTGCTGAGTCACTGGCAGATGGGGCCCTGACCCCTCTCGGCCACAGCAGACGTGGCCAGGCTACCGGGCCATGCTCTCCTGACAGTCAGGGACCCCCAACCAGAGTGAGTCTCATGTAACGCTAGGCACCGGGCTGTGCCAGAAGGTCTCCCACATGCTACGTTCCCAGCCCTTCGGTCCTCTTTTATTTTGAGAACAAGTTCTCTGCATTGCCTAGGCTGGCCTTGAGTTTGACGATCCTCCTGCCTCAGTCTCTCCAGGAACTAGGGTTACAGTCCTACAGCACAACACCAGCCACCTTATCTGTAATGCCTACTGCAGCCATGGACTGACTGTCCTCATGCTGTCCCCACTGTCCAGGTGAGGATCTGAAGGTGACAGCTGTCACGGGATTCTCCCACAATCACCAACCTGCAGCTCTGAGTGGCAGAGCCAGGATTTGAACCCAGAGAGTCTGAGTCCAAGTCCAGGGCTCTTTGCACTAAAAGGAGCCAGGCAGGGCCGCATGGGGACAGTGGAGACCTCGGCCAACCCTCCCAGGGTCCCCCGCCCAGCCCTGCCACCTGCTTACCTGGAAGTGGGGTGCAGGCTGGGAAGGCAGGGGGGCAGCACCATGCCTGACCGGCTCCACAGCCCGATGGCACCGCAGGATGCAGACAGTCAGCCAGGCCCAAAGACCAGGGAAGGGGCTTTGCCCACGGGGACCCTCAGGATGGTCCCCACAGCCAGACAGGGGCAGGAGCCGCGGATGCCCAGGGCACAGCCGGCCAGGAGATGCCCTGTCCACACCACGCGCCCCCTAATGGCTCCCAGACTGCTCTGCACCACCCCTGCTCAGCAGAGAACACTGCCCCCCACTTGATGCCCGTCTGCCCCCCCTGCCAGAGGCCAAAGTGACCTGGGCCTCCCGTGGCTTCCAGGCGGAAGCTCACCCAGGAGAGCGTGCCAGTCCTGGGAGCAGGGGCTGCCTGGCTGGCAGGCGAGGAGAGGTCACCTGCCCCTCCCCGTCCTTCTCCCCTGCACTCCAGGGTCTGTGGGTACAGACAGCAGCCCCCCCCACTCCCAACTCCCCAGAAAGAATAAGAAAGAAGTGAGTGCAGCAGGGCACAGCAGGGACCCAGGTTACAGAGGAGGAAGGACCCCTGGTGCTCAGAATCAGCCCCCCACTCCCTGGCCAGGGCCGAGGGGGGCAGGGCAGGCTGTGGGAGCTGCCCAGGTGGGCGTGGGGTCCCCAGGGCCAGGTGCTCACTGCAGTGGGAAAAGCAGACCCCTCTGCTGCCACAGCATGGGGCAGGGCACGGGGAGGGACTAAGCCAGGGCTCAGGACAAAGTCAGAGTTTTATAAATAGTTTTGCTTTGTTTTTGTGCTACTAGGGATTGGACCCAGGAGCACTACCACCGAGCCACATCCCTAGTCCTTTTTAAAAACTTTCTTATTCTGAGACTAGTTGCCCAAGCTGGCCCTTGACTTGTGATTTTCCTGCCTCAGCCTTCTGGGTTGCTTGGATTACAGGCATATGCTGCCATGCCTGCCTCACAGTCAGATTTTTTTCTTTTTCTTTTCTTTTCTTTTTTTTCTTTTTTTCTTGACATATAGTCTAGACTGCCCTTAAACTCTTTGTAAAGCCCAGGCTGACAGTGAACTCAAGGTGATTCTCCTGCCTCAGCCTCCCAAGCAGCTGGGATTTATAGCCATGCGACACCATGCTTGGTTCAAAGTCAGATTTTGAATTAGACTCTTAAGTCATTTTGTGAGTAAGATCTGAACTCCAATCTTGGCCCAAGATAACACTTGGGCTTTAGGCCAGACCTAAACCAGGGATGCAAACGGGAACACGGTGCTCAGGTCCCCCTGAGCTACTCTAGAACCAGGCTCGCAAGAGAACACAGATTCGGGGTCACCCAGTATCCCAGCTGCGGGAGTCCCTGGGAGGCCCCGGGACTGGCCCAGTTACGGAGCCGTCCTCAGCATGAGGGTGGGGTTGCCGTGTGTGGAGCGGGTGGTGGCAGGAGCTAGCATGACCAGTGGCAGCGGGCAAGCGTGAGAGGTGGACAGGCAGGTGAGGAGGCACAGGCAGAGAGCCGTGAGAGTGGGGCGCCCGTTACCTTCCTCGGGGGGCCCAGGGCCAAGCCCCTGGGGGGCCCCAGGTCCTGGGGGGACAGCAAGGTGGGGATCTGCTGGCGGCGGGACGTAGGGGGGAGGGAGGACACAGAACTTCTCTCAAACACCTGGGGGCAGAAGGCAGGTGGGTTTGGAGCGGGGACACCAGGCAGGGGGTGGCGGCCACGGCCTGCTTTGCCCTGAGCCTGCCTTCTCCTCCAGGGCTGCAGGGACTTGTGGGAGGGGGCTATGGACATGTGAGCTGGGGCCCTCGTACAATAGTGAGGGCTGAGCAAACCAGTGGGACGGCCCTGGGGGCCTGGGGCTTGGGAGAACCAGGACCACGATGCACCTGCTGTCCAGGCTCTAGGATTAGGAAGGAATGGGGTTTTCGGGGGACCCAGCGGCTCTTGGGGTACGTGGGGGCCTTGGAAACTATAATCAAATCCTCCAAGGAGGGACACGAGATCCCCCTTTGGCAGTGGAGGAGAAATGAGGTGCAGAAAGGATGGGTCTCGGGCCAGCCTGCTCGGGAGTGGCCGAGCCCCGACCCACCTCCAGCTCGGCAATGATTCGGTCCTCGTCATCCTCGTCCTTGATGGCCGAGGCCATGATGGGGGGCGTGGAGGCAGGGCGGGCCACTTCCGACACGGCACGGCGCAGCTTCACCTGGGGCTTCTGCACCTCCAGCTCCTCGGACTCTGCCTTCTGCAAGGGCCAGGCTTGTCACACCCAGCACCCTCACCCATCCCTTGTCCCCAGGCAACTTCGATGTCCCCAACAGGCAAAGGCCTGGGGTGGCATTAGGGCAAATGCCCAGATCGGGGATCCCCAGCTAGAACCCTCAGAGAAGGTCCCCCTCCCACCTGGCTTCCTCCTGACTCAGCCTCCCCGGGTGGCAGTGGTACCTTGATGAAGGCCGAGTCCTTCTTGCTGGTGACCACCACCTCCCCAGTGCGTGTGGTGGTCAGGCCATGTGTTGAGGGGAAGCTGCGGCGGGGAGGGGGTGGCGGTGGCGACTTGGAAGGCTTCTCGGTGCGATAGCGGGGCACTGTCAGTTCATCTGTGGGCAGCCAGGGGCTGTGGTCAGCAGCTGGCGACCCTGAGGTCATGCCCTGCTTCCCACGCTAGGGACGGCACCAAGCAAAGCCTCCTCCTCCAGGAGGACCAGGAGTGAAGGACGCAAGATCCCCGCTCCAACCCAGTCCCCCCTCCTCAGTGCAGTCAAGCCTCAGCCCATCTGGAACAGCAGCCTCGGACCCTGATGCTGAGCTTTCCCGCCCCTCTCCCCCAGCCGCCCCCTCAAGGGCTCCAGTGAGTGCCCCCTCCTCCAGGACACCCCCAGATTCCTAGGTTCCCTGGGGCCTCCTGAACCAAGCCCTGGGGTCTCTTTCTGGTTTGTGACCAGGAGTGGCTGTGTTTTGGTGAATCTAGGTATTAGGGTTACATTCTGGGTCATTTTATTCTTTACTTGGAGACAGGGGCTCCCTAAATTGCAAAGGCTGGGCTCGAACTTCTGATCCTCCTGGTTCAGCCTCTCGTAGCTCTTACCACACAATGAATGCGTGATGAACCAAAGGTCGGTATTACGCCCCATCCTGAGCTCCCGAGACGGCTGAGGCCGGTGACAGACCCAGAGCCTCAGCCCAGAGGGTGCACCCCGATTAAGAGTTCCTTGCCTGCCCTCCCCATACCTGAGCCCCTCCTCCCACTGGGCTCTGTGCGGGGTGCCGCCTTCTGGCCGTGGGGAACTTTGGGGGGCTTGTGGTCCGGGGCGGGGGCTGGGCCCGGGTGGGCCTTCCCAGCACAGTCCAGGTCAGGGATGGCCTTGAGCAGCTCGGCCTGCGTCTCCTCCAGCAGCCGGTTGATGTCCTTGGTGCTGTACTGGGTCAGTGCTGCTCTTTTTTCCTCCCAGTCCCGCTCCGCCTGTGTGCATGTGGGGCCAGGGGTCAGGGGTTAGGAGTCTAGCACAGACCCTTTCCCATACCAGCCAGAACTCAGTCCCTCCTGCCAGCCACACTGTGTAAAGGACAGGAAGGGAGCCTCGTGGGGACCCAGCCCCAGGGACCCTCAGCCTTTTGGGTCAAAAACCCTACGTCCATTCTATACCATGTTCTTGTCTTTTTTGGTGGTGCCAGGGACTAAACCCCAGCACCCTCAGACTGAGCCTTACCCTCAGCACAGCACACCCACCCCTTCTCTTAATTTTGGGACAGGGTCTTGCTAAGTCACTAAATGGCCCAAGCTGAGTTTGGACTTGTGATCTTCCTGCCTCAGCCTCCCAAGTGCAGGGATTATGGGATGCACCCTCATGCCCAGCCCAGCACACGGCTTCGATTCTCACAGCTGTATAAATAGGCTTTCTGCCCGGAAGGCCTAATGTCACCCTTGAGATGCTCTCGGACTTCCATCTGGGAATGACCTCTCCCACTCTAAGGCAGCAGAGAACCTATGACCACAGCCCTGGACTCCACCACAGCCCAGCCCCAGCACCTCTACAGACACGGCCTTGTCCACACTTCGCTTCCCAGGAGCATCTGGGCCTTTGGTGGGGTTGCCGCCCTTGGGGGTGAGGGGAGCCCCCTCTGCTGGGCCACTCAGCTCATGCAGGTTCAGTGGAGGACTGGGGGGTGGCAGGTCGAAGTCCAAGCCCTTGCTGAAGTCGGTCTCGGCCACCACCTTCTTGGGGGACTGACTCAGGAGGTTGTTGGGCGGCGGCCACGCACCCTCCTCCACTTGCCTGGGGTGGGAAGAAAGGGGGAGCCATAAGGCAGGGGGTGGGGGTCTTGGGTCAGGCCAGCCACCATGGAGACTGTCTAAATGAGGACCCCAGGGCTTGGGCGCAGGTGGGGATACGTGGGGACTTGAGGCCACTGGAGAGACCTGCGGATCTGGGCCAGGGTGTCGGTGACACTGCGGCAACGCTTCAGCAGCCCGTCCAGGCGCTGCGGCTCCTCCTTGAGGAACTTCACGGCCTCCACCTCCACGCGTAGCACCACGCGCATCTTGCTCTGCAGCCCCGGGAAGTGAGCTGGGGGGACAGGTGGGATGAGCAGAGGAATGGGCAGGGAGCCCGAGGCCCAGGAGAGCGTCAGAGGCAGGGAGCTGGGCGGCGGGGGACCCCGGCTCACCCTTGAGCTCCGTCAGCGTCTCCCCGAGCTGCTTCAGCACCAGCGCCTTCTCCTCCAGCTCCGGGCCGGGTACCAGCCGGTGGCTATGAGATGCGTCCCGCTGGATCCTTTCCATTGACTTCTCCAGGTCACTGCAGCCACAGAGAGACCTGCTCAGCCCCTCTGGCCCCAGCCCACACCCCTGAGATTGTGCAGCTGGAAAGAAATCAGGTCACCTGTCAGATCAAGATGAAGTCACCCACCAGGCCACATGCCCGGGCAAAATCAGCGATGCCAAAGGTCAGAGAGAGGAGACCAAAGATCTCGCCTGCCAGGTGTGGTGGTGCATGCCTGTCATCCCAGCACTTGGGAGTCTGAGACAGGAGGATCGATTGCCATGAATAGGAAGCCGGCTTGGGCAACATAGTGAATTCAAGGCCAGCCTGAACTACATGGCAAGACCCTGTCTCAAAAAAACAAAAGTAAATAAATACAACCAACAGCTCTTCCAAAGGTGCCCCGACTGCCCTGGAGAGCTCTGATCCTTAACTACAGTGGCCCAAACTTCCCTCCATGTGACGTGCAGGCAGCCTGAGTCTCATCTGGCCAAGGAGATATCCAGGAAGCTGGCAGGCTTTCAGAGGATAGGGAGGGGCAGGGTGCAGTTCCCCTAGGGTCTGCAGTCCACAGGACACCTCCCTGGCCCTCTCCCTGGGGAGCCCAACACTGCTTTAGATTTTAGCAACTGTACACTAAGCTTTGATCATTTAAGACCCCGAACCTCTCAAAAAATGTAAATCAAGCCAGGGATGTAGTTCAGCAGTGCAGCGCCTGCCTGGCGAGGTACCGAGTTCAATTCCTAATACCAAAAAACAAAAAAACAAGCACAACATAAACGAGGACAAGTCCCCACTCCTTGTATTGAAAGGAAGTTGAAATCCAAACTCCTCTGTGAAGCCAAGAAGGGCACAGGAGGGGCAGTTGAAAGCTTGGCTCTAGAGTCGCAAGATCCACATTGCAATCCCAGTCCTGCCCACCCAGCAGAGATAGTGGGCGAGTTACCCAGTATCTCTGGGCCTCTACCTTCTCATCTGAGAAATGGGGATGGTAAGAAGCTCCCCCACTCTGGCCTCTCTTTTGCTCCTCATCTGCCTCCCTACCCCCATCTGCTTGCTAACACTCCATTCTCTCATCTCAATGAGAAGCCCCCGCAACCCCCTCTTCCGGGGGATTTGCTTCCTGCCCCTCCTCCCCAAGCCCTGAAGCTCCTGTTTGCTGAGTCATACAATTCTCCAGGACACTGGCCCCAGGCAGGCCAGGCCTGTGTCTTCCAGATTTATCCCCGATTTCTAGCACCTAGCACCACACCTGGTGCAAACAGATGTCTGGGAAATAACTGGGGGATGAACCAACAAGTGCACAAAGGAACAGCTACAGTAAGTCAACTCAGTGCTATGCAAGACCAAAGACATCTCTGGCCCACGTGGAGAACTTGACATAAATTTCTGTCCAAGTCGGTCTGCAGGATCTCAGCTCAACAAGCCAGGAAGGAACAACTCTGGGCTTTCAGTTCTACCGGCCAGCAAATTTGCTCCCACTAAGGCTCTGTCATTAGCTGGTCTTTATCGGTGTGCCCTATACATCTCCTTCCGCTAACAGGGGAAGACAGACAGGCTGGAGCCTCAGCAAATTTCTCTGATTCAGCACCAGCGGGTGAAAAGCAACCTTGTATTGAGCATTTACTGTGCCAGCCACTAACTTACTGTAACCTCCCCACAAGGGCAGGAGTGGGAATTGTTATTCTTTCCAGTCTACAACTAGAGGAACAAGGTTCAGACATGAGACTACATTTCCCAACCTTCCTTGCAGCGATCCACAGTCACATGACTAAGGTCTACCCAAGGCGGTTTTGGGTAAGAGTGGATGCCACTTCCAGGCCTGGCCCAAAACCTCCCAGCAAGCTCCTCCATGCCCTCTCCCCATTGGTTGGCTGGCAAGACCATGATCTCCTGCCTAAGGGTGGCAAACTACCCATTAGCCTGGGCCCTGAATAAAGAGAACTGCTCTGCAAGCTATTGAGCAGAAAAAATACCTATATTTGATCAATCAGTATAAAAGCTGGAAGCTTACTTGCTATTGAAGCTGTCTTAAGTGATTATTTATTCATATTTTTGCAGCACTGGGAATTGAACCCAGGCCTTTTGTGCTGAGCTAAATCCCCAGTGCTTTCGTCTTTGCATTGAGTCAGGGTCTTACTATGTTGCTGAGTTGCCCAGGCCAGACTCAGACCTGCGATCCTCCTGCTTTAACCTCCCTTAGTACTGGGATGACAGGCCTGTGCCAATACACCCTGATTGTCCAAACTAATTAATAACACTACCATAACGAAGGCTCTGGTATTTAAAGGGGGGGGGGGAGAAAGAGGCTCAGGGATGAATCAGACAGAGATTACACAACCATTTCATGTGGACGCACCAGCTGCAGCTGGAGCTCACACTCCAGTGTCTCCCTGCTGCCCACCTGCCCTGCTCCACCACAGGCAAGATCCACTCCCTCTGCCTGTATGTGGGACACCTGCTGGTTTCAGGCCTGACTGCCTTTGTTAAATGTCACCACTCCCAAACCTCACTGACAGAGGAAGAGACTTTTACTTAAAGAAAGACTCCAGTGAGCTTCAGGAAGAGAGATCACTCTAACTCTCAGGCAGCAGAGACTGGGTTCTCGATTCCCTACCAAGACACTGGATGACAGCTTGCTGAGGGAGCTAGGCCTGGTGGTACACACCTGTAATCTCAGCTAGAGAGGAGGCTGAGGCAGGAGGATTGCAGTTCAAGTCCTTCCTGAGCAATTTATAAGACCCAGTCTCAAAATAAAATTTAAAAAAAATTTAAAAGGGCTGGGCATGTAGCTGAGCACAAAGGCTCTTGGATTAATTTCCAATACCACCACCAAAAAAAAAAGTGGCTGAGGGCTGGGGTGTAGCTCACTTGTCTGGCATGTGCAAGGCCATGCCAAGGCGGGGTTCATCCCCAGCACCACAAAAATGAATGAATACCTGGCCAGATCTTCATTTAGTGCTGGGAGGATTGAAAGGCTCAGGACAGACCCAGCTAAATAATTCTTTATTTGTGAACTAGAGACACAATTCTCATTTTGCAGCGGGAGCCCTTGTCTGGTCTGGGCCGGCGGAGGACCCAGCCACAGGCTGATTTCCAGGGCCCTCAGGGAGCTGTCTGGGTACAGGTTTGATGAGGGGCAAGAGCTGGGTCGTCTGCGAGTCCCGAATCAGAGAGGCCCCCTAAGGGAAGGCTCTCCTAAGGCAAGGTGTATAAATCTATCCTTTCATTTCTTCCACCACTGTGCCTTCATATTTCCTTTAATGTCTTCCTAAAGCTCCTTTTGAAAGTTCTGTCCCAGCTCCCCCTGTGGCGTGGAGTGAGACGAGGACAGAACAGGACAGGAAAGTCGGTCCATGGCATTGGAGGAAGCTGGCGGACTCTGCTCTGCTCAGCCATCTGGCTGGAGCTGTCACCTATTGATCATCCCTGGCAAGAGAGGTGACTACTGCCAGCTCATGCCCATATGCGTGGCCCTCAATTTGTCCCTACAATACTATGGGGACCCCCGCCTCATCCCTTGCTAAAGTGAACACATAGCGCCAGGTTGTATGAACCCCAGGCTGATGATTAGTGGCCTCCTCAAGGAAGCCCTTAGAAGGTTTCCAGATATGACTTAGGGACAAATCCAGGCCCCTGTGAGCAGCTCTCCTGCCTCCCTGGGGTCTCTGAAGACAATCCAATCCCTGTCCAGAAAGAACTGCAAAACTCCCCCCTCCCAGAATCTTTGTACGGAACACCGACATGGAGGGGGGCAGAACTGCCCGGATCCCATAGCCCCCAGCACTGGATCTGGACCCAGGCCCCCAAGTCCTTCAGTGAAGCACGAGATAAACCAGGTGTGGGTAGTGAGAACACAGGCCCGCAGAGCGGATCAGAATAAACAACACACAGAGGAGGGAAGTCTCATGCCGCTTGGCCACCTAAGATCGGCTCAGCGTGAGGCCAGTGGAGACTGGCCGGGGAGTGGGGACAGCGGGTGATCACTTCCACTACCGCAGGATTGATCATTTACCTGGGATATGGAACCCTCTGCCCTAAAGCCAGCCAGCCATAAAGAAGGCACTTCCTTCCCCTAGGGTCCCATAAAAGTGCCTAAAGCAGTGCCAACTCACTGCCACCCTTCTTCCAGTCCCTTTGTGCCTATTCTTACTTTCTTGATAAACTCCCTTCCTCCATCCACGGTTTCCTTCTTGGACACCACAAAATGCAGCCCCACTTTCAGATAGCAGCACCCCACCAGGGAACCCCCCAGGTGACGGCGAGGGTGGAGCTGGACAGCCATTTGCTAAATTTGGATGAGACTGTTTTGGCCACGGTTAAGGGTTTGGGGTGGGATGTTCTGGTCCTTTCTTCCAGAACATTCGAGCCCCGTTTTGGGCGCGCCAGGAAGGGACGAGGTTTTCCCTTTGCTAGTGCTTGTCAAGGGGGCTAAGAGTGGTGGTGACTGAGCGGTGACAGCACCCGATTGCTCAATGGCCCTCCAGGTCCTTGCGCATGGTCACAGCCCAGAATGAAAGCAGGAAGGGATCAGAAGGAAACCAGGCGGCAGGCCCCGGGGTGAAGCCACGGCCACACAGAGTCAGGCGGCCTCTGGGAAGCAAGACCACAGTAAAGGCAGGCACCGCGCCAGGAAGAGAAATCGGGAATTATGCCAGATGATCGGAGGTTTGTGGGTCACAGAGAAACCAGGCCACGCCAGAGGAGGAAGTCAGGAGACCAACGTCACTGTGATTCTTAAGCAAAGGAGCTGCGCCTCCCGGGGATGCCGGGCGCGGTCACCCCGGCCGCGCCCGCCCTCCCTCCCTCCTCCGAGCGCCCAGCCTCACTTGAGCTGCTGGGTGATGAGCTCCTCGTCGTTGAGGTAGCGCAGCCGCTCCTCCTCCACCAGGGTGCGCTGTCGCTGCAGCGGGTCCTCCTGCCGCCGCGCCGCCTCCGACACGCGCATGCTCAGCTCCGCTTCCGTGCGCTTCAGCAGAGCGCGCACCGACTCCTGGTTCTGGAGCTGGGGGCCGCGAGAATGGACGCGTGGACCGGGCTGGGGCAGGGGGGCTCCACACGCCAGGCAGAGGGTGGGCGGGTGAGGGTGGCGAGGGTCAAAGGGACGTTCTGGGAAAGTTGAGGCGAGGGAGTGGGATAGGAATATGGCGACCCTAGTGGGGACCCTCCTGACTGTACCTTCGTATGGCTGGGGCTCAGAGCGTCTTGAGTATGGGGTCGGGCATGGGAAGAAGGTGAACCCTTCTGTACTAGGGCTCACAGTTTGGGGCGATCCAACCCAGTTCGGAGCCCGGAAGGCAGGGGTGGACGGGATCTTAGCAGTGGCCCAGATGGCCACTGTCCGCCCCCTCCCCAGCCTGTCTCTGCGCATTAACTTCACCTGACGAAGAGCGGGCACAGCGGTGCCAGGCTCCTGACAGGTGAGACCATCTGCCAGGCCAGGCGAGGCAGACTGGCGGGGCGTAGGGAGGCGGAGGCCGCCTCCGAGAGGGACGGATGGAGGGGGGAGGGGGAGAGCTAGGGGGAGATTCCGAGGGAGCTGTGGGGGAGGGGAGTGCCCGCAGGGTCGGTACCTGGAGCTTGCGCAACTGCTGCAGCTGGCCGCGCAGGTCACTAGCGCTGTTCTGCAGACCGCGCAGGTGCAGCTGCATCTGCAGACGGCTGACCGACGTGGGCTTCTCCGCAGGGGCGCCGCCGGCCGAGGGTGCGGGAGGGCCGGACACCGGGGTGGCCCCGCTACTGCGGCTGCCTGACCCGCACGCTGCAGAGAGGGGCATTGAGGGTGGGAGAAGTGAAACAAACTCTGAGAAGGGCCAGGGCAGTTCGCCCCACGTCCTGACTGCACCCTATAAGCCAGAGGCACTTGGCTGTGACTCCGTGGGTTAACAGCGAGGTGCAAGGCACCAGGAAGTGACACCTTAAACTAAGATGTCCTTCATTTATCCACTGAAAGCCCCTGATGTGACTTTATATACTGGGACTCTGAAGCTCAGAGGGGTAGGGCGGGGTCACTCACGTGCTGAGGGCGTGGCTGCCCCGTTAGAGCCTTCGATCTTCTCACTGTGGCACAGGGAAATTGAGTGGGCATCAGGGAGTCCGGGCCGGCCCCAGGCCATCACAGCGCAGATGTCATCTCCAGCTCCCGCAGCAGCAAGGGACTCACAGTGACACACAGCTGAGCCCACACTCCTAATGCCCACTTCCTACTTCCCGCTCCAACCCCAGGCCTTGTTGGCGGTGGTGGGGAGGGGCTCACCTGGGGGTCTCAGGCTCCGAGCCCCGAAGGAGGGCGCTCTGTACCAGGCCCGTGAGGCTGGCAATCTGCTTTTCCATGGCCTCCATGCGCTCCCTGCAGAGGACGTGGTGCTGAGCAGCCCCTTCCCGCTTCCAGGGCCCCCCTGCCCAGCCCCACACCTAAGATCCGTGACAACAGCAAACACCCTTCCATCCCCAGCTGCCAACACAAAGGGACCCGGGCCTAAAGACCAAGCCCATGGGTCCCTCTGTGTGTCTCCACCCAGCCCTTCCCTGCTCTGTGAACGCCTTTTCCCCTACCTCTTTTCCCAAGCCATCCCGAAGTCCCAGCAGCCTAGAGAAACCCTTCCTCCCACAGGGAAGTGCAAGAATTTTTGTGTCTCCTCCATGAGCAAAAACTGGCATCAACAGAGCCCAATGCAATGTGCAGCTGGATAACTTGATTGGAAGGGGTCTTGCTGTGTGGCCCAGGCTGGCCTGGAATTTACAGCGACCCTCCTGCCTCAGCCTCCTATGTGCTGGGATGACAGGAGTGGGCCACCACACCAGACACTCCATCCCTGTTTTCCTGCCAGCACCCTTCCCCAGTGTACTTCAGCTGGCCTGTGCTGGACAGCTCTACGGCTGCCAAGGCCACGTCCTCCTTCCCTGGAAAGGGCTTATCTACTGCTAGAAAAACTGAGGCTCGGGTAATAACTGCGAGCCCAGGTCTTCAGAGCCCATATCGGGCCCCTCTCGCCCACCCCTTCAAGACTTGCAGATAAAAAGGAAATGGTAGCGGCTCTCCAAGGTCCTCCCTGCCCCTCCCAAATGCCAGGTCTACCGAGAACCCCTGGCCCTCTGAGCCCAGGAATGGCATCCGTAGGCCAAGACCTCGGTGACGCCTTCTCTCCCCACCCTCGCCAGGGGTCCTTACCTGGTCTCCGCGTCCTTGGCTGGCACCGGAGGCCCAAAGCCCACGAGCGCGCGCTCTCCGGGCCCGGGAAAGAGCTCGGGCGGGGGAACCCCGGTTCCAGAGGCGCCCCCGGTGCCGCTGCGCGTCTTGGCCCCGGGGCTCTCGGCGAAGACGGACGAGGAACCCGAGTCCTTGCGGAAGGACTGGCGCACCGGCGAGCCGCGGCTGGGCGGGCCTGAGTAGGGGCTGTGGGGCGGCGGGGGTCCGCCGGGGGGCGCGCCCACGTCCGCCAGCTTCTGCGGGGATGAGGGCGGCAGGCGGAAGCCGTAGCCGTCCCCGTAGAGCGCGCCGCCGCCGGCCGCCGCCTTGTAGAGCGAGTCCTCCAGGTCGGACTGTAGCGCGGCGGCCGAGTAGGTGCTGAGCGAGCGCACCGAGCCGCGCTTGTACAGCCCGCCGGGGCCCGGGAACGCGAAGGGTTCGCCGGCCGCCGCCAGGCTCAGGCGGCCCTCATGCAGCAGCCCGTAGGGGTCGGCATACAGACCCTCGCCCTTCACCAACATCATGCCGCCCGCCTTGCCCGCCAGGTCCTCGTCCGGCTTCACGTCGCGCCGCTCCAGGATGGCGCTGGGGCTGGGGCTCACGCCCGGCGCCCCCGCCGTCGCTGCCCCCGTGGCGCCCCCCAGTCGCTCGGCCGCGTGGTGCACAGGGCTGCCAGCGTAGGAGGGCGGGCGCCCCCCGGCGGCGTAGGACAGGCGCGAGCGCGACGGCGACCCGGACGGCAGCCCCGACGGCAGCCCAGGGGGTGGTGAGCCCGATGCCAGGTGCGGGGCCGGCGACAGGTTGTTGAGACGCCGCGTGGGCGAGGACTCCCGCGACGCGTACACCATCTCTCTCTGCGCGGGAGATAGCCCAGCACCCGGCGGGCGGGTTACAAAGCTGTACGTGTCCTTTGCTCACGCCCCTCCCAAGTCTCCTGCTCTCTGTCACATTTTAGGCCCTTTCCCATCAGACTTCCTGGCACGGGGGGAGTGGCAGCTGGCAGGGGTTGACAGGGGTCACCCTTAACCCATGCCATGGTGGGGCGGCTCGAAGGGAGGCCTGTTGGAGAACTTCCTGGTCGTGCTAGGGGGAAAGGGAAGGCTCCCCCAGGACCCCACAGTGAGCAGGGGTTGCCTTCTGCCTTGATTCCCCATCTCCCTTCTCCTGGCCCCCCCCCGCGACATTCGCCAGCAACCTGCCTGTCTGTACCCACCCACCCGATCACCCCAGTGCTCTGGGCATCCCCAGCTGTACCCGGAGATCCCCGTTGGTGAGGTGGGATCCGGGGAAGGCAGCATACAGCGGCTCCTTCCTGTAGATCTTAATAATACTGCGGTCTTGGATGTCCCTGGGGGAGTGGAGGGCGCAGAGGGTCACTCGTGTCTCTCAGACTACACAATGTGTAGGGGCAGAGAGACGGATGGCACGGGAGACCAAAACCCTCAAACCCTCTCTCTAAGTCTTTGGACTTAGGTGCAGCAGTTCCCCCCAACCCCTACGTTCGCCCACCTCCTCTGCCTGTCTGTCTTCTGGTTAACCTGGGCCAGTGGGAACCAGCAGGGGTGGGTTCCTTCGAGGGGAGAGGGCGGAGAGGGAGGCGGGGGTTCCCAGAAGGGGTTAGGGGCGCAGGAAGAGTGTGGGGCGCCTGCCCATCCCCCATCCCGGGGCCGCGCTCACCGGACGTCCTCCAGCTCGTAGAATACGTTGCGCGCCTCGTCCTTGATGAGGATGGCGGTGTTGGGCGACTTGAGCATGCCCATGGTGAGCTTCTGCGGGAACATGTGGGCGATGAGGGCGTGCAGCGTGTCCAGGCTGCTGACCTCGTGCGTGATGTGCACGCGCCGCGTCTCCTCCCCGAACTGCAGGAAGAGCACCCCTGCGAAGGACACATGGGGAGGGCTGTCACGGCCACCGGCGCCCTGCCCGCTGGGAGAGCCTGGGGGGCTTTGGGGAGCTGCTCCGGTCCCACAGTGGCAGGGTCTGAGGCCCGACGCCGCCCCGGAGTGAAGGTGAACCCAGGCGCTCCTCATGCTGCGGGCTGCCCCAACACCCACTCCCCCACCCCGCCCCCCGGGCGGCTGGATCCTGGACCACCGGGGCCGCGGGATTGGATTGGGCAGAACCCGCAGGGCTGGGGAAGGACAGAGCGTGCTGGGGGTGCAGAGGGAGAGGGGAGGGCTGGAGCGAAGAAAAGCAAGAAGGGAGTAGGGCTGGAGAGGACAGAGAGAAAGGGATGGCCAGGGGGAGAGGGGTAGGAGGAGGTTTGGAGGGGCGGGGAGATCTGAGCTGGGACCCTGGGAGGGCATAGGGCCGGGGCGGGAGCCACGTGGAGGCGGAGCCTTGGCGGGAGGCGGCAGCCGCGCGGGCCGGGCCGTACCTGGCGAGCGCAGCTTGGTCTGGCTGGCAGAGCGCGAGAGGGGCAGGCTCTGGCGGAAGCGGTTCATCCTGCTGAAGCCCAGGGGCAGCTCGGCCTCCGACATGGTCTCCAGCGACTCAGCCGAGGCGTAGGACAGCTTGGCTGCCTGGTCGGCCAGCCCAGGCTGGGCTCCCTGCGTGTGGCGCGAGCTGCGGGTCTGCAGGGCAGGGCAGGGCAGAGCGGAGGAGCCAAGCCTGAGCCCTGCTTTGCTTGGCCCACGCCAGCTAACAGGAGGCCAGCCAGCCAGCACACACTCGGGGGAGGGTCTCCTGCGTTCCAGACTCGCTGTGTGCCTGCAGGGCTGCAGTACCCCCAGCTCCCGGGGGGCCTTGGCCTCCCCAGGACACCCAGCAGGTTAGCTCTGGGCCAAAGGACTCGAGCGCTCCAGGAAGCCAGTCAAGAAACCATCTAAGCAGGAGCCATGGGCATGCGTGCTATTTTAAGCTTCCAAAGAACAACACCAACACAAATTTGTCACCGAGGTGAGCAGCAGAATCGTTGAGCAAATTGGGGCATTAGTTCCAGACATTAATTAAGCGGCGGGTTTATGAGCGGCGAATTTATTCTGAGTGTTGAGATGGGAAGCAGGAATCAGGGCCCAGGGAGAAAGTAAAGACAGCAAGAGACCCTGGGGGCCTGATATTGGGAGGTGTGGGCCTCACAGAGCTAATGGGACAGTGTCCTTGATTTAGGGTGACTGAGACAACCATCCCAGACCCCTCAGAACCGGCAGACCCCCTGCCTAGCCCAGTGCATATTCGGAGCCCAGCATGGTACACAGAGCACATGGCGTGCATGCCAGGCTCTGGGCCCTCCCTGCCAGACACAAGCTGCCACACAACCAGCCAAGCCCAGGCACGATGTCCCTTCCCTGTGGCTAGAGCTGAGGGTGCAGCATGGACTATACAATGAGTTCAAGGGTATCTTGGGCTACATAGTGAGACCTTGTCTTTTATTGGAGGGGGCAGTACCTGGAATTGAACTCAGAACCTTGATTTTGCCAGGCAGGCCCTTATGTCACTGAGCTGTATCCCCAACCCTTCAAGACCTTGTCTTAAAAAAAGATCATGTTGCCCAATTGTATTTTTCTTTAAATAAATTGTCCATTTTTAACAACACATCACTCAAAACCATTAACATGGGCTCGTTCTGAGCAGAGCGAGCTTTCATTTTTAACTTTATATGTTGCTCTATGAATTGTCCACAATCAGAATACATTACTTTTATAATTTAAAACAGACAGCAATAAAAAGTATCTCTAAAAAGGAATAATTTATTCTCCTCTTCAGCTCTCTATTTCCCCAAATCCTGATTAACCCTAATTAATCTCTATCTTTCTATTAACTCAATTTAATGTTCCAATGAATTAGCGCTCTTGAAAAGAGAGAACATCTTTCTCCTGTTGGCATTATGCCCAGCTGTCCCCAAGGTGGCCTTGAGGGCCTGGGGACATGGAAGGTCAGAGTTTGGGTCATTACAGGGCTTCCAGCTTCAAGCACAGGGCCTTCCAGTGGGTGGCAGAGGTCTTGGAGGAGGGGGCAACATAGGCAGTAGCACCCCCCATCCCCGCTATTTTTGTTTTTGTTTTTTCAGACAGGGTCTCACAATGCAGTGTGGGCTGGCCTTGAACTCACTATAGAGCCCAGGCTGGCCTCAAATTTACAGCACTCCTCCTGCCTCAGCCTCCTGAGTGCTGGGAATACAGGCATACACCACCACACCTGGCAGCCCCCTCTTACTCTCAGTCACGTGAAGGGTGGTGAGCCCTGTGGCACTGTGGAGATCCCAGCACTGCTAGGCAACTGAAAAGTCAGTGGATGCAAGTGAGAAGCGGGCAGGAGGACAGGGCGGGGGGATGAAGCACAAGAGGCCCACTTGGAAGCTGCCCCCCAGAAGAGCTCTCCAGAGACACGAGGGCTGCATGGAGGCAGTGAGCATGGTCACAGGTGTTCCAGGTCTTCCAGGAAGACCAGTGACCTTTGGCCCGAGGCCAGGCAGAGGGCACCATGGATGAGCACCAAGACCTAAGGGTCCCGCAGGCTGACTGCAGACTGTGGCTAGGGCTGGGGCACTTGAGAGCCTGGAAAAACACCCCACACTCCTTGAGGTAAAACTCTGCAGGTGGAAGCCTGGTGGTGGGGAAGTGGTCCAAGAATTTTTATAAGGTGCCATGGTGACTGGCTTTAGAACCCTGTCAGCACCCGATTCGGACAGCTGGTGGGGGCGCAACCACATGAAGTTCCCTGCATTTTCTCACCTTTTTTCTATCTTTCAACAACTCTGTGGTGCAGGCATCATCCCACTTTACAGAGGGAGAAACAGGCCAGGGTGATCATGTAAGTTGCACAAGTTAGCCAGCTACTCTGCAGCAGGCTGGACAGTCTGGCTGTCTCAGCCCCCTGCATCTGACCACTACTACACAGTCCTCCAAAGAGGCTGTGTTCACCCGGACCCTAGGATTCCGTGATTCTTTGACTTGCAAGTGCTCCAGAGCATGCGTGCGAATGAGACCCATGGGGGTCTGGAGGGGTGCCCACCCTGTCGTGATGCCTGGGACCCCAGAGCTGGAGACTCCAGGAGGCAAACAGCACTCGATCGAACTTGTTCCACTCAGCCCTGGGCCTGGGGCCTGGGAGGATGGGTAAGTGCCCCAGAGGGGCAGGCAGCGCCCAGTGCTGGCCAATCCACACTCCCCTGACAAGGTCAGAAGCCTCCAGCCCCAGCCGTAATGTTTAGGGCACAGAGTCATGAGCGTGTCTTGCCTGCCACCACACACGTGCCCCATGGAGGCCTGGTCCCTGCCTCAGAGCCAGCGTCACTATAGCTGGAGAAACCTCAGGCAGCCTTCTTGCTCTGAAATACCCCTGGGAGCTGCAGAAACTTGGGGACAGAGCATCTGCAACCCACATCTCCAGCAAAGGTGGCCCAAACTCCCGCTCTGGGTCCCAAGCCCCGGCAGGTGAGCCCAGGTTCCCGACGCAGCAGCCACAGCCCAAGGCCCAAGGCCCATCGCAAACACCTGAGGGCCCGTGCAGATGCACACCCCGGTGCCAAGCATGTGCAGGGAGGCAGGGAGGGGACACATGCAGTTGCCATGGCAGCAGAAGCATCGCACACTGACCTTGAAACTCCAGTAGTTTGGCTGCTGATGGAAATAAGAGAAGAGATGGTTATGAGGGACCTGGGGTGTGGGGCAGAGACCCTCGGAGCGCATTGGCACTCAGCCCTGGCTCCTGGGCCCACCTCCCTCTGGGGAGCAGGGAGGAAGTGGAGCCTGGGACTTCTTCAGTTCTCTTCGAATACCTGGCCACGCAGGTGTCCCCAGAATGGTCAAGTTGTAAGAGAATTTCCAGATGCTAATAGCCACGTTCTAGCTAATAGGTACTGTCCCCAGAGAGCCATAGGCAGGAAAGGGCACAGGACCACGAGGTAGGGCACCCACAAGAGTCAGAGACCATGATACGTCATGGTTATGGGGTCAGAGGTGACAGCAATTGGTTACGGCAGGCCGGGGAAATTTCCTCGGAATGGCATTTGAGCCAGGTCCTGGAGAATGGAGAAGAGGTGCACTCAGCAGAGGGGACAGCATGGGGAGGGTGTGACCATCACCCAGAGTCCACCTGGGGTGGCTCAGCCCAGGAGGAGGAGGTTGGGCCTCGAAGCGGGCTGAACTGGAGTCCGCAGAGGTTTGGGCGGGGGGGCAGAGAAAAGTGAGTGGAATGAGAATGGGACCCCACAGGCCAGAGGCAGGATGTCCAGTGTAGCAGAGGTGGACAGCGACACCCCCGGCACTGGGCAAGAGATGGGGAGCTGTGAGTGAGGGAGAAGGTCAGGCCCAGCGCTCTGCTCCGGGAGAGCTGTCAGAGGTGGGACCTTGCACCCCCCACGACTCTAGCATGTGGGTACTGAGCCTCAGGAACCTGGGATCATGGCCCTGCATTTCTCCCGAGACCAGCAGGCCTTTCCAGATGGCTAGGGACAAGGAAGGGGCAGCCCGGAGGCCAGGCTGGTTCTTGGCAAAGCTGAGGGCACCCTGCTGACTGGTGCCAGCCTCAGCAGGAGGACAGAGGCAGCAGATGGCTCAGCTCTGGGGTGCCTGCAGGCAAGATTCCCAGGCCTCAGAGCCCCTGGCAGAGGACAGGGACATCACAGGTTCCCGACAGGAGAGTGTGCCACATTAGCGGGTCCTGTGCCACCAAACACTTTCACGGCACGGGAGGTGGAAGGGGCTAAGTAGGGGGTACTGAGGCTTTACCCTTGGGGTGGGGTGACACAGGGCAAGTGCTAAGACACAGGGTCACCTTCCAGGGCTTCACCCTCCAGCCACAATCCTCAAGTCTCCACCAAGCAAGCCCTGGATCCAAAACATGAAGAAATTGCCACATGCTAGGCAGGAGAAGGAAACTACAAAATCTGTACTCAAGCCAAGGCCTGGAGTCATGGACAGAGGCCACCCCAGGGTGGCAGGGGGTGCTAATAGGCTCCAGCCACCACAGCTGCTGGTGGCCCTGGAAGAGAGGGGGCAGAGCCAGGCCAAGGGCACCAGAAGGTTTCCCATGGGAGTCACCTCTGCAGAGAGAACCCCACGCCCTCACCCGCCTCTGCCACCTTACAGGGCAAGGGGCAGCACAGGGCGCCCCGAGCTCCCCAATGAACAGGGCACACTCATACACGGCAGCCATCGGACATCACAGACACACCCACAGCAGCATGACATGGCCACCTGCAGAGACAGTGTCACTAATGGTCCTAGAAACCCACAGACATTGGTGGGGACACCGGTGTCCCATGCATGCCTGGGTCTGACTTGCACACTCTCAAGGACACCCAGGACAGAGGCCCGGTACTGCTCACACCCACCCTTCACACGGCCCAGCACCCAGACACCCGAATAGCCAGCTGCAGGGCTCCTGCAGCCACTTCCACCTGTCCCAGGCCTATGATGTCCCACATGTCATGTTTCAGGGAGGTGATCTCCTCCATCCAGAGAGGCCAAAGATTTACTCTCTCCACGGTCCACACAGCGGGTTCAGGGTACCCTGTGCAGGTGGCTGGAACCCTCCAGGGAGAGACAGGAGCTAGTGAGAGGCCCCAGGGTCCCGAGCATGTGCACGTGCATGGGGGCAGTCACCTGGAAGGCATGGGTCACAGAGCCCCGAGAGGGAGGACAGGGTGGCATCAGTGTCACCACAAAGGTCCATCAAGCCCCAGGAAAAGGCACAGATGGAAGTGACCCTGCATGTTTGTGGAACACGGTCACCCCAGGAACACTGTGATTGAAATCTCAAGACCTCTGGCTCACCCCTATCCTCAGTCAGAAAAGTGGGAAGAGCAAGCTGCTTCTGCACTGGGCCGCCAGGAGTCAGGGACACACATGGTCTCCTGGCAACTCCCTGTCCCCAAAGCAGGAGCTACGGGAAGGAGGCCTCTGTGGAAGCAGCCAGCTCCTCTCTCCAGGGCTCCCCGCCCCTGTTCTCCAAGGGGGACCCTCTTGTCTCTCCTGCCCAACTTTCTGCTAGTGGGCTCCTGCTGTGTGCCCGGCCCTGTGCCTATTTGGAGCAGGATCTCAACTAATAATAAGTGACAAGGAGCAAAACCTGAGCAGCCCCGCAGAGGGTGAAGCCATGCTCTCTGCTCCCCCAACCTCCCAGGTGGCTCCCAGGGAATTCCCAGTACCAGGAAGCCCGGTGGGAGATCTGGCTGGAGGCGGACCCAGCAAAGCAGCAAAGCCGGGGGCAGGGGTTGCTGCCCCACATTCGGGGAGGAGTCAGGGAAGACAGGGCCCAAAAGGGACCCTGCAGGAACAACCCTGGCAGGGACAACACCTGCGACACCTGCGGGAGCCGGAGCAAAAGCGCGGGATCTCAAGAAAGATGGGCGGCACCCTTCCCTCCGGATGGGGCTCACAGAAGTGGGGAGGGGGCTCCTCCCGGGAACCCGCAGGCCAGCGAACCGCAACAAACAGCTCTTTACGGTTGGGGGCGTGGAGTGCACACCCTCCTCCCCGCTCTCCAGCCCTGGAGTTCGCTCCTCTGCTGCAGCTACCTTGACCCCCAACCCGGGCCTAAGAGGAGAGGGCAGAGCGGAGCCCGCAGGACCACAGCGCAGCCAGCCAGGTCCCTGCCCTCCTCTGAGCCAGCGTCCCTGATGAGTGCGTGACTCCTCCTTGACCTCGAGCCCCACAAAGCACAGGAGTGGGGCACGAGGGCGCAGTTTGGCGCGCACACCCATCTCCAACTCATGAGAACACAAGTCCCCAAAAACGCCTGCCCCACTGGGGGGCGACGCCAATGCCAACGGCCACACAGGCGCGCGACCCCAGCGTACGATTCACATCCGCGCCACAGAGCGCGTGTGGGGAGGGGTGCGCACACCGGGAAGGTCATGACTTTCCGGGGCCCGAGGACGGGGTGCCCACCTGCCCCAACTGGGCCGAGGGCCGCCCCCTCTGTATCCCCGAATGCGGTGGGGGAGGGGAGGGGGCGTTTCTCTCGATCCGGAACCCGCAAGGCTGCGCCCCCCACGCTGCACCGCCCCTCGTGGCCGCCGCGCTAGCGCTTCCCCATCCCGGTGACCCCCGCCCCCTTCGAACCCCCCCCCACGCGCCCGGGCTCCGAGGCCGCTCCCCCTTACCTGCGGCTACAGGTGCAAACGCTGGGGTCCCTGAGCCGGTGCCGCGTGGGCGGGGAGGGAGAGAAGGCGTCCCCACTCCCGCCCGCCCGTGCGCCTGGCCTGTCCCCTCCCCCGGCCGCCGCCTCCGTCGCCGCCGCGGTGCCCTTTGCTGCAGTGCGAGCGCCGCCGCCGCGCCGGCCCGGGCCCCGGTCGCCCCGGTAACTGCGACTCCACCTGGCGCGGCGCGGCGCGCGGCCGTGCACATCCAGCCGCGGCCCCCACCCCGCCCGGCCCCGCCGAGAGAACGCGGCGGAGACTGGCGAATGCGTCGCCGCGGTCACCCGATCCGCCGGCCCGCCGCCCGGGACTCGGGTTGCAGAGGGGGGAGGGCGAATGGCCAGCCCGGTGGCGGCGTGGGGGAGGGGCCATGGCTGGGTCCCTACCCAGGGTCCTCTTCACCGTCCCCACCCCCAGTGTCTGATCTACTGCCACCTTCGCAGCCTACAGTCCCTCCTCCCGGGGGTCTCAGCTGTGCACCTTTGCCCTTTTAATCCTGCCGTGAATGACGTGAGTGACTTCATCGTGCACAGAATGTGGCAGGCCTGCAATGCTGGAGTTTCCTTGATGGCCTCTGACCCTGCAGGGCTCTGTGACTCCTGGCCCTTTGCCCAACACCTCTGGTCCTTTGCCTCTGCCCTGGGGCAGGAATGCCATACTGGGTGAGTACTGAGTGATCTAGTGATGGTGAGACCCTTCTTGGGCATAGCACCCTCCCGGCATTCCATTCAGGCCACCTCAAACTCTCCCTCTCCTCCCCTTGAGGAGACCCCCAGGTGTGGAGAGACTCGAATCCACCTCTGGGACGAACAAGCTCACCACCATATTAGCCTCACTCACACCTGCCTGCCCTGCACACAGCCCCAAGACACCTCTTCCAGGGGTGACCCCTGGCCCTGCACCCGGGGCACATTGCCCCTCTTCCCTGCCTGTTAGCACCACTGCCACATCCACTGTGGCCTCCACCACACCCTGGTACCCAGCCTTTGGAGGCAAACACATCCCTGGCCCCCGAGTTCAGCCAAGGTGGGACCACGAGCCAGACAGAAAGTGGGCTAAATGCCCTCAAGTGAAGCCAACTGTGCCAGCCTACACCTAGAGCTGAGCTGTGCCCCATTCGGAGGCCTGTGCTCTGCAAACACATTTCTTAGGGGCCCATGGTTTTCTCCCATTTCATTTTCCTTGAAAGCTTCAAGCCCCTTCACCCTCCTCAGGGAGGTGCAGGTGTATTGGGCCCAGACCCCTTCCTTCTAACAGCCCACAGCTACATGTCCCCAAGCTGCCCTTCCTCATGCACCCCTCACTCCTGGACTACCCCTCCCCACCGTGTCACTGTACAGGCCTGAGCTGGGAGCCCCTAGAGTCCTAAGTGTCTGCGCCTACACTGAGCCCACCTTCCCACCAGGAAAACAGGTCTGATGTGGAATAGGGGGTCAGTGGCTTGATGTCTTAGTGCTCTAAAAACTGAGGTGAAGCCTTGGTCCTAGCAAGGGGAGGGGGAACCCCACCCAGAATTGCCTGATGACTCAGCTCCAAAATGAGGAACTGAGATGATCTTTAGTGGAAGAAAGAGACCCCTGAAAACTCAAGGAAAAAGACAGCATTCTCCTGTGTCAAGGAGAAAGGGATATAATGTTTTTAAATTCTGAGTATTGTCCTTCAAAAACTTTCTTCCTCCAAACCAAGCTGGTCTGGGGAGAGAGGGGCAAGGAACTGGGTATTAGGGGCATGTTGACACAGGGCACAAAAGTCTCCTGAAAATTGGGGGGGGGGTTCAAAAGAAAAATTCACAATATCCCCCCTTTAAAAATTAAAAAACAAAAAGCCTCCCCAAAGCCAAGCCCGCCGTGGGTGTGGGGCCAAGCGGGAGGTGGGTGACTCACCTGGGCGGGCTGGCCAGCCCCGGAGGGCGTGGAGTCGCCATGCAGGTGGGAGCAGAGGGAGCTGAGGAGGCAAACAGGGTCCACAGTCCAGCCGCCAACCTGTGTGTGCGAAGCGGGGGGACACCCCATTAGGGGGAGCGGGCAGAAGCCGCTGGGCCATGGTGAGACAGGGAGAGAGCATGCCTGGGGCAGGTGATGGTCCAGAGGCCACACTGCAGACGGACAGGAGTTCCTTTCCTTGGGCTGGGTCTCGATCTAGGGCCTGGGGTCTGCTAGCTCTCACACAGAGATCCAAGGGGCTGGGACTGGGCCCTCCCTGTCAGACACCCCGGAAGCTATATGTCCAGCGCCTGGCTGCCCCCACCTCCTGCACATGTCCCTCCTCCCTCTGCTTCCTCACCAAGAGTGTCACCCCCACCTCACAGGGATGGGGACCACTGGGCCTCACCCCAACAGTCTCTATCCCAAAAGCATGTATGTCATTCTTTGGTCCTTTTTCTTTTTCTTTTTAATACCAGGAATTGAACTCAGGGCCTTGTGCTTCCTAGGCAGGTGCGTACTGGTGAGCTACATCTCCGGCCCAACATCTGTCTTCCTTGCCATCTCTGGAAATGATGTCCTTCTATTCCAAAGCCACCAGGCCGATTCCTCCTGGACCTGTGCCCGGCCCTCTGGCCCACAGCTGCACCCCTGCTCTGTCCCTTCTGCCCTGCCCCTTTGCTGGGCACGGTTGTGCTATGTACGCTCAGGCTCCAAGCTGTGGGAAGGGGCCAGGTCTTGTCCCTCACCCTCCTCAGGAAGGCACGGATGTTTGACAGAGGAAGGGAGAGAACGCTGAGTGGCTGCCGGCGCTTTGATTCCCTCCCTAAGTGTCCTCTGAGTGCTCCCTGAGGACTTCCTAGCCTCCTCAAGCCAAGCCAGGGAGCAGGTCAGGTGCTCCAAGGCCCACGAACACATCGGCGCTCTCTCACCAGGCCTGTGTCCCCTGAAGCTGCCACACCTGCTGTCTCCATGTCCCTTACTGGCTAAACCTCCCCGACAGGCGTGTGGCCCGGCTGGCACCCAGGCCCTCGCGTCCCCCATCACCCTGACGCCTCAGCCACTCCAGACCCACGGCTCCAGACAGTTGTCCCCCTGCCCAGCCACGCCCCTCCTGTGGGGCCTTTCCTCCTCCCCATGGTGGCAGAGGGTCCCGATCGCCCTCTCCAGTCATCACAGGCGCTCTTTGATTCCAGTCTGCCTGGCTGGCCCTCTACTCCCACTCTTCAAGTCTCCAGCGGCCCTGTCCTTCTGGAGTTGGTCTGTGCGTATGCGCCAGGGGGGCTTGGTGTTGAAGGTCCCACCTGCTCCTCTCTCTGCTTATATTCTTCCTCAGCTCCCAAGCCTTGCCCACCCAGCTACGGTGCTCTCTGTCACCCAAGGGTCTTCTGTCATTGCCTCCATTAATCAACAGCCCTCAGTGTCCCCCAGCCACTGGCCTCCTTGATACACACTTTTCTTTTTGTGTTTTTCCTTTTTATCAGTACTGGGGATCAAACTCATGACTGCCTGCTTGCAAGGCAGGCACTTATGCCGCTGAGCTAAATCCACAGCCCAATACACACTTTTCTTCACCATCAGAAACAACCCAGCCCTCCCGGTCGCTATGTCCAGCTCCACTTTGTCCGCTGTCCCCATGTGCCCCACTGCCTCCCCCAGCCTTCTGGACTAGTCAGGGGGTCTGTGCCACGCCCCCAAACCAATGCAGGCCTATGCTCATGGCACTCCCCTACACCCCTGAAACAACCTTCTCTGCCTGTACCAACCCTGGCATCCTCCTAGGCCCACTTTGGGTATCTTCATCACCAGCAAGTCTGCTCACTGACGCCCCCTCCTCTAAATCCCTTCTGAACTCACTGCAAATGCAATCCTCCTTTCTCCCCAGTTAGGGGCAGAGCCAGGGAACCCATTGGGGCAGCTTCCCGAGGCCAGGGCTGCAGGCTCATCTGCACCTAGCCCTGGGCCCTGGACCCTGCTCCCAGGGGCTGTGAAGCTGGGGAAAGGCCAACACCAGACAGCTAGAGGTGCGGTCAGGGGACCAGCAATGCATCCATATGCCCTTGTTCCTGCAGGGAGCGTGGGGAGGGGACACCCAGGAGGACCCAGAAAAGGGAGACTGAGCTGGACACATGGAAGCAGGGGCTGACACCCCAAGGCTTGCTGGAAAGGTGGTTGCTGGGATGTAGGCCACCCTGGCTTCCTTCCCCCAGGTGACAGTACCTGTGTCTCTACAACCAGACACAGCAACCAGCAAGGCCTCCCGCCAAAGAGACAACCAAGGTGAAAAGAGACCATGCTCCTGTGTGCATGGGGAGAGGCATCAGGACCCCAGGGGCTCTGCTGCAGCGCCTTACTGACCAAGAAGAGAAAACGGCCCAGAGTGGTGGCCACCAGCTCCGAGTCACACAGCGAGTCTTGAGGGCTGGGGACCAGGGCGATTGGAGCTGAGGGGTTCCCTTCTGGGGTGGTCCTCGCAAGGTCCGGAGACACTCAGATCCAGCCTGCCGAGGCCCCAGCCTGACTTTTAGGGCCCCTCTCGCAACTTCCCGACCCCTGGCGACCCCTGGCAGGCAGGGTGAGCCTGGGCCTCAGTCCCTGGCCCTCCTCCCTCCAGCCACCCCTCCCGGGTGTGGTCTGCAGGCCAAGCCCACCCCTTCCCCCCTAGACGAGGGAAAAGCTCCACGACTCCGCCGGGCCTCTGCACACAGCTCCCGAGGCTGCATCTAGGGGCGCGCGGGGTCCCCGATCCGCCCCGCTCCGCGCCACCCACCCCCGCCCCACTCACCTGCTCGCGCACGCGGTCCTGCTGGCCGCGCAGGGCCAGCGCGTGCTGCGGATACTTGCTCTTCAGGTGGTCCATGAAGGCGTCGCGCTTGCGGTCGGCGTCCGCCTTCTGCAGCCCGCTGAGCGCCTCCAGGCTCTGCGCGGCGATCACAGTGTGCCGCCGCTCTGACGTGTGCACCAGGCCCACGTTGGAGAAACGCCGGCCCCCGGCGCCCCCGCCCCCGCCCCCCAGGGTCCGGTACTCCCGCGGGTACTCGGCATCGTCCGCAGACAGCATGGGGGGGCTGCTTCGCTCCGGATCTGCGAGAGGGGAGAGGGGCGTGCGGGGTCACGGGATGGGGGACCTTCCCCCACCGGGGTCCCTAAGGGTGGGGCCTAAGGGGCTGCCCATCCCCCCACGAAGGGGAGACAGAAGGAGGCAGACCTGTGGCGGGGTGGGAAACAGCAGCCTGGTGGGAAGGAGCAGCCAGCTAGAGACCAGAGGAGGGTTGGGGGCAAGGCCAGGAGGCCACTGCTTGCTCCCCCTGGGGTTAGTGATGGCAGGAGTACTGGCTTGAGAGCAAGCCTCTTTTAATTTTTAAAAAAATTGTCTTTGTGAGCCAGGGTCTCGCTATGCATTTCAGGCTGGCCTTGAGCTCACCCTGTAGCCCAGATTGGTCTCATACTTGCAGTGATCCTCCTGCCTCAGCCTCCCCAATGCTGGGATTACAGGCGAGAGCCACCACACACGGCCAAGCAGCCCCCTTCTAGAAGCTGGTGCTCCGTGAGGGGGACAGATGGGAGTGTTCCCTCCACAGCAGCCTCTGAGAGAGGCTGTATTCCAGACCCTCCCTGGGGCCAGCACTTCCAGTCCCAGGACCCTGAGAGCTGGGGCTGTCGAGAAAGCCATGCTGGGAGCATGGGGGAATTAGGGGATTCCCCAAAGAGGTAGGGATCCAGATAAGGGCAGGCACAGGGACTCCATTCCCCTCCCACCCCAGAGACAGACAGATGGACAAACAGAAGAGGCTGGGCACAGAGAGGACAGTGAGATGGACTGGGACAAACTTAGAGGAGAAAGAAAGCAGACAGAACAGAGAAAACCTGCCAGCCCCTTCTTCAGTCTCCTCCAGAGGGGACACACAGGGGACAAAGGACAGCACAGAAGCGGAGAGGGCAAGGCCGGGGGCGAAGGTCCCCACGCACAACACTGACTCCCATCCTTAAACCCCTAGCCCCACCCTGAGCTGAGCTGCTGGCCGCCCCAGGCTCAGCCTGTGGGCCATGTATCAGCAATCTGGGCTCCAGAGGTCACCTGGCCCCCTGGGGCTTGGTGCCCTGGCCACACATCTCAGCAGGAGACAGACCTGTCCTCTGCCCAGAAGTCACTCTTCTGGGAGACAAGTGTTGCCCCCTCCCACACCTCCACCCCACAATCCACCTGAGTGGCAGCCCCCACTCCATATAGCCTCAGCCCCACCCCCATACTCTCTGACTCCCAGGGACAAAAGGGGCCAAGCTGGGAATTCTGGGACACAGCCAGACTCCCCAGCATGGTTCTGTCACCATCCAGAGGCCTGGTGCCAGGCCTCAGCTGCCCTTTGCCCAACCACAGAAGAGAAAACCCTGTTGCATTTCAAGAAAAACTGTAGCTGGTTGTGGTGGGCTGACCTACAATCCCAGCACATAGGAGGCTGAGGCAGGAAGATCACCATGAGTTTGGGGCCAGTCTGGGCCACACAGTGAGTTCAAGGTCAGCCTGGGCTACACAGTGATACCCTGTCTCAAAAATCAACAGGCGTGCACACACACAGACACACACACACACACACACACGCACGCACGCATGCATGCACACACAGCACCTCTCCACATTGGCTATGGCTGAGGCAGGTACATCGGCTGCCATCCACTAAACCATCTGAAGTTTGGCACCTCACCCAGGGCTCCCCATCCTTATCACAGCCCCATGACCCCAACACTGCTGTAAGGAGGTTTTACTATGATCCCTATTTCAGAGATGGCCACCAAGGCTCAGAAATCCCATGAAAACCCTGAACCATAGGAGTGACAGAGATCCAACTCAAGCCCCCTAGCTACTAGGTTTGTATGGCTGCGCTTCCCTCGTTAAAGGATGATTGTTTATGGGGACATCACTGACCACTGGGCTGCACTGCACCACGCCCACGTGGACTTCCTGTCTCCCGCCATTCCCCCTGCCAGGCCGCTGGTTCTCCCCCAGATACCCCGATCCATCTGTCCCTCTCCCATTCACCATCCCCTGCTGTGCTACCAATGGAGGTTCAGACGCATAGAGATATCTCTGAGAGAAACACTGCCATGTATCTTAGTAATTGCATGTTTATTTCTACAAGGGCTAGAAAATTCCCAATGAAAAGGTCAAACCACTGGTTTCATGGGTATTGGTTAGGGCTTATATCTGGATGTCCCCCCAAAGCCTCCTGCATTCAGAGGTGGGGCTCTGGAAAGGTGCTTGGATCAAGGGGTGCAGTGCTCATCTGTGAATTTGTCCACTAATGGGTTTAGAGCTATGTGAAGCTGGGAAGTAGAGCTCCATTGAGGGCAGTGTGTCACGGTGGGCGTGGCCTAGAAGGGTCCCCCTCCCTCCATCTCTCTTTCTTTGTTGTTTGAGACAGGGTCTCACTGTGTGTCGTTCAGGCTAACCTTGAACTCACTAACCCTAACCCTAACCCTGGAACTCAAGGCAATCCTCCTGCCTCAGCCTCCTGCGACTGAAATTATAGGTATTTGCTGCCAGGCCCAGCTGATCTTTTTCTGCTTCTGTCTGCCATGACTGCTTCTCCTCCACCAGGTCCCGGTGTCAAGCCACTCTGCTGTGGAGCAGCCAATCCTAGGCTGGAACCTCTGCAAACTGAGAGCCAGAATCAACCTCTCCTTTAATTTGTAGATGTCAGGCAATGTTGTGTCTCAGTGATGAGAAAATAACTAAGACAACATTGTTCCTTGCAATGGCAGAAAGGCAAGAATTTCTCCTTGGTGGAGACGGGTACTAGGGATTGAACCCAGGGCCTTCACACTGAGCTACATGCCCCGGCCCCAGCCCTTTATTTAATTTTTGAGACAGGGTCTCAGTAAGTCCTTAAGCTACCCAGGCTGGTCTGCATGTCTAAACCTTCCTGCCTCAGCCTCCCCGGGTGCTGGGAATACAGGCATGCACCACTCTGTCTGCCTTTTTTTTTTTTTGAGACGGGGTCTCAAGGCCAGTTCAGGCTGGCCTTGAGCTCATTTTGTAGCCCAGGCTGGTCTCGAACTTGCAACGATCCTCCCACCTCTGCCTCCCGAGTGCTGGGATTACAGACATGAGCCACCACGCCCAGCAACTCTGCCTGTCTTAGCTTTCTCCTTTCCTCTTAAATAAATGTATGTAAGTTCAAAGTGAGTTATCAGAAACAGTACTGAATTAGCCAACAGTTCCCTGATACGAGGAGACTCAGGGAGATGTCAGCTGTTGGGGCACAGCCAAAAGTGGGGGGGTGGAGGGGGCCCTGCTGAGAGGGAGCGACCTGGGGAACAGGGGTTGGGGATAGTGAGCCCTGCCCAGGACCTCATCCCAGCCTCTGCCCTGCTCCCCACCTTCTGGCCCTGCCTTGCTGCTGGACCCAGCTCTGGAGCCAGGACCCCGGGCTCTTCCCAGCACCCTGGGCACCATGGCTGGCATCATTTGGGACAGGCCCCCAAATTGCACCCTCAGGGGCTCCCTCCCAGATCCAGAGGGCTCCTGCTCCCCTCCATGCCAGTCTCTCCTTGTTCGTCCTCTAGGGGCCTGCATGGGGCTGCAGAGGCTGCAGGGGCTGGGGCAACCCCAGGACTCACACTGCTCCGCCAGGCACATGAGAGCGAGGATGAGGAGCTGAGGGGAACAGGCATGGGCAGAAGGCAGTGCTCACCCCCAGGTGCCCTGGCTTGGGGAGGGGCAGAAACTGGCACTGGGGTGTTAGAGAAGGAAGGGGCAGAGTGACATGTGCATCTCATCTCAGAGGATAGTGGAACCCTCTAGCCCCGGGTGGCAGCATGCACCTGCAATGCCAGCACTGGGGAGGCTGAGGCAGGACTGCAGTGAGTTCAAAGCCAGACTGAATTGCAGAGCAAGACCCTAACCCCTCAAAACAAGCCCCGGCCAGAGGCACCTGGGGTTAGCAAGCTGCTTCCCAGGGATGCCAGCTATTGGCCAGAAGAGCAAGTCTGCCCACAGCGCCAGGGAAACTGGGGATGTCTTGTTAGTGTTACTGGGGATGCAGGGAGGTGACCGGAATCAGGCTGAAATCCGGGCGGGGGAAGGAGGAATGGGACACATGGGGATCAAAGGTCTCTGGGGGGTCGAGAGGCACAGGGCGGTCTCTCCGCTCTCCCAGGGCCTCAGTGTTAGAGACCCACCGTGATCTCTGAACCAAAGTGGAGATGCAGGAAGGTGCCAGGCTCGGGCGACATGGAGCAGAGCATCGGAAGGAGGGGAGCAGAGGCAGGGCCGGCGGAGGCTGCGGGCGCCCCCTAGTGGCTGCTTTCGGACAGGGCCGCAGGTGCCGGCGAGGCGTGACATGGTTATTTGCTCCACCGATTCTAAATTCCACGTTTATTTATGGGTCAGATTGCTTTTATCCTGCGCCGCATTCTTTCCCCTGAGGTCACTGTCACTCGTTAGGAGAACGACGACCCCGCCCCACAACTCGGCTTCACGGACCCCTAAACCAGCAGCCCAGCCCCACCTGGCGTCCTAGCCCAGAGGACGTCACCACCCCGCCCCTATCGGTCCTATGGCTGCCGCTGGCTGGGCGACGTTCACACATGACATCACTGTCAGAGCAGAGGACGGCGAGGGAGAGCGGGGGGTTGGGGACGGGAGAGACAAAGGGGACAAAGCGGAGGGAGGGAGAGCCAGGAACTCTGGGAGCCCCTCGCCAGCCTGGCCACCAGCAAGGACCAGGCCTCCTGTCCCCAGTGACCAAGAGGCCAGACAAGGTCCATCCCAGGGAGATCACGACTGTCACTTGAGTGCCACTGATGCTGCCTGGCACGGGCAGGGCAGGGCAGGGACAGAGGGCCACGCAGTGCCTTGCACACACACGCCTGTTTGCACACTCGAGTGCACGCAGGCTCCTCGTTCCTGTGCAGCTGCAGCGAGAGGAGCCTGAGGCGCTGCCACAGCCAATCGTCCTGACAGCTCCATCCGGGCTCCTGTAGCCAGGAAGATGCTGCGAGAATGAGGACAAGGAGGAGGAGGAGGAGGAGGCGGTGGCCAGAGAGCGGAGGTCATGGCCCGGAGGTCTCAAGCCTGGCAGAGG